TTTATTGTCAAGGTCCGGCTCAAGCATGGGATCGTTGCTGGGGATTATTAATGAGATCGCGCCGGCGAGCTGACGCTCACCGCTATGAATACTCCTCGATATTGCTGGCGTTTCTCGTCGAGGTCGGCCGGAAGTACAGGATGAATCCTCAAGAGTTTGCTGAGGTTTATCGACGAGGTCGCGCCGGGGCGCTCACGTCCATTACGCGAAGCTGCCGGCGTTTATTGTCAAGGTCCGGCTCGAGCATGGGATCGTTGCTGGGGATTATTAACGAGATTGTGCCGGCGAGCTGACGCTCACCGCTATGAATGCTCCTCAATATTGCTGGCGTTTCTCGTCGAGCATGGATCGGAGCATAATGTGTCCGACTCCCACTGCTATCAGTGGAGTTTATGATGAAGGACGTAGTCGCATGTATCCTCTGATGATGCTGGATAATATTAGTGATGTCACGCCCGATGGCTTCTGGAGTATGTACCAACCTACATCTTAGCGGCGAAATACGAGGCAAGGGATTATATTACGACGTACGTTTTGGGCATAAGTATGGTGGAGACAAGCGCTGCTCATTGTAAAGCGGCGCGTCCAGAGCATCGCGACCATTTGGCAAGCTAGCATCGTACCAGAGGTTTGATAAAAATTTACACGCGTGCTGTGGTTTATACAAGTTGAAAGCAGCCGGACGAGGTCACTAGCACGTGCTGAATGAGTGCAGGACTTTATTGCGTAGCGGTGTGATCTCATGTAGCTGCAGTTTATACTGCCTGGGTGTGTGTGCGAAGGCCTGTGCCAGTCCAGGTGCTGGTGCTGCGTTTTATTTGCGAGGGAGGCAAGGTTCAGTTACAGGCGATTTGTGCACGAGGTTGTTACTGCTACAGCAGTAACTTATCGGACTGGATCGGTCACTAGCATTGCTCCGTCGAGCGTCAGCGTACTTATACTCTATCGTAAGTACCTGACCATATGGAAGTGGAGCATGCTGATGAATCAAAGAGGGGGACGCGTAAGCGTCCAGCGAACGAAAAAGGAAAGTAGCGACGGTCTCGATAGCATCGACGGCCGAACCGCTACAGCGTTCAACGCGGGTGAAGTCGCGACGGAAGGAGGCCGACCACGCTCTCCGGTTACCATGATGGGCGCCTACTGATTATTGGTTACCTGCAGCTGGCGCTCATTGCACCAAAACCAAAACCAAAGTCGATACGGATAGCGACTGCATATCTGGGAAACTCTACGCGTACGTTCGATTATAAACCCAAGATGCACGTCTCATAGCGGGGATTCTTTTGCAGCCCAGCCGGCCATTCCTTTTGACCGTCACCGCTGCCAGCCAGTAAAGGGCAGCTACATTTCGATAGCGAGATGACCCCGTTGCTCGAAGAAGAAGCTTGTATGGTTGATCACGATCGCGAGTGCTACATGCTCCGTGGGGACCATAGTCAGCTGGCGCCCATATCCCGACTCCCTCCCGAGGTCCTGGGTATGATCTTTCTCCTCTGCGTACCCGACCCACGATGTGGCCACCCGTTCCCCCAAAGTCACGCTTTCAGTCAAGTATGTCAACATTGGAGAGGAATCGCCCTTGACACTGCCGTTCTCTGGTTGACCGTGCCTCGTGCGACCCTCGAACTCACCGACATATTCCTGTCGAGGTCCAGGAATGCTTCGCTCGATGTCCATGTATCAGATGATTTTATCGAAGGGCCCGTAGCGGCCTCACATCGTGCCGCCCTTGCACTCGTTCTCTCCCATCTCAATCGCGTTCGGAGTCTCGATCTGGTCTACGATATCGAAACATGGCTCATGCCACTATCCAATGCGTCTATAAATCTTCCCGCCCCGCTTCTCGTCGACTTATCTATAAAAGCATACTCCAACCAAGCGTCGCTACCGGACGATTTCTTAGGCCTCTATGCCCCTCGACTCTCCCATCTCTACCTTGGCTATGTCTCCTTCAACTGGCCAACACTGTTCCACGAATCGCTCGTTCGCGCCTTGACCATCCTTGAACTCGACCGGCTTCCGGCCGATTCCTTCCCTTCCGGCGGAGAACTGGCCATGGCCCTTCGTTCCATGCCTTTCTTGCGCAACATTGTCATTCGGATGGTGGAAGCAGAACATGATCAAGCTTTGGACCCAATGCCGATCTCAGGGGACGTTCCGTTGTTGAGCCATTTGACCGTGTTGAGAATGTACGGACCCGGTCCACAGACATGTCACCTGCTCCAGCAGTTCAAAGTTCCTTCGACGACGTCTTTACACCTCTGTCTCACCCATACACAACAGCAATGCAATCTAGGCCCGCTCTCAGCCTTGCTCAAGAATCATTGCACAGGCGGTGCTCCTGGTCCCCGAGTGCGGCGTATGCATTATCTGGGGAGTGATGAGCGGCACGTCCTACGGGTGTACCCATCTTGCGAAGCAGATTTGCTCCTCGCTCTTGTCATCGAGTACAGCTGGCCGTCCGTGTATGAAATCGTCCGCACGCTTGAACTCAAGGAACTCACGCATCTTGAGCTCAGTACGGACGAGGACATGGATCCGCTCGCTCTCACACGCCTATTCCCCCTCTGCCAGAGCGCCACAAGAGTGCGATTACATGATCTTGAAACATGCGAGACCGTCGTCCCGTTCCTCATTCCGTCAGAGGCCCGTGCCCTTCTTCTCCCTAGGATGCGATGGATCTACTTGGACCTTACCTCGAAATATGGGGAGGATTCCGACAGCTTCCTCTTGTTATGCGAGGACCTCCTCATCGAGCGGTACGAAGCCTCCGATTACATGCTGAAGATGGTGTTCGTCCACCCGCCCCCGGATCGCGATTCCGAAGATTACGAGAGGCTTCGCCAAATCTCTCCGACACTAATTTGGTCGGAACCTTCTTCGCGCCTGGCCGACGCACTCTAGGCATATATCAGCGTCGTCATGCCCTTCGAGTCAGAACTCTGAGCATTCATCGCCTCTCCAACGGTCTTTAACGATGACAAGAGGGTAGTCATGAGTGACTCGCATCCCCGAGCTCGGAGCGTTTGATTTCGGGACCGGTGAATGAAATCATTGTCGCTTGGGTTATGTTACCCTGCTTTATGGGTGACGTAATCGCTTTACAATTGCTCTCTGTACACGCAACAATAGACATGGCACCTTCTTGGCTCAATGTAAGAGCGCACGCCAGATTTTGTCCTCCATTGACCGCGCAAGCGACGGAGGCGTGTTCAAACTCAGCATGAAGTACGCCACATCGCCCAGCGTCCGATAATGGACGTTGTATGGCGCACCGCCGGGAGCGGCCGTTAGCTGTTCGCCTTGCTGCCCGACTTCCGCAAGCGAGACGAGGGCGGATTGCGCCGACGTGGAAGCGTAACCTGCGAAGAAAATGCTCAACGATGTGGCCAATGCCTAGTACCCACATCACATACCGGCGCCTTCGTCTTTGATCTTGATCGCGAGCACGGTCCCCATTGTCATCACCTCCTCGACCGCCTCCGACCGAGACAGCGCATCCACAAAGCTCGGGTCCCAGAAACTCCAAACCGCAGCGGTCTCGTCCTTCGCATCCTCCGTCGCCCCGCCTAGCCACCTGCCCTTCGCCTCCGCCCACGCCTCGCTCCCCTTAATCCCGTCCAGGATCCGCAGAGTCTCGTTCGCGACTTCACACCCGACGGCATGCGCCGTATAGCTGTGCCCGTGCAGCAGCGCGTCCGTCTTCTTCTCGCTCCAAAACGCTTTGAAGATCGCGTCGGATGCGAGCGTGACCGCGAGCGGGACGAGGCCGCCCGTGAGGATCTTCGCGTGCACGGAGACGTCGGGCGCGACGCCGAGCAATGGGGACGTGGTCTCCTGCCCCAGGCGATACAAGCCGACGAAAACCTCGTCGAAGATGACCGGCATGCCGGACCAGTCGCCGGCGGAGGATGACGCGGGGGTGCCGCGGACGACGTCGACGAGGACGCGCTGGAAGAGCGGGTCGACGAAGATCATCCCGCCCGCGCCCATCACGAGCGGCTCGACGACGAGCGCCGCAAGACGGTGCTCGCCCTTCTCGCGCAACTTCTCTAGCGTGGTCGAGATGTAGTCCCGGTAGACTCCGGCGAGCGGGGTGACCAGGCGCTTCTCGACGTCGTACGTCCACGACAGCGAGCCTGTCTCCACGTCCTCCGCGCCCTCCTCCGTCCGCGCCGCGATCGCGGCCGGCAGGCGCACAACCGTCTTCCCCTTGCGGATCGCCACGCTCGGCGGGTCGAACCAGAACCCCTTCGCGTTGTGCCACTCGCACGTGTACACCCCGGCGTCCTCGCACGCATCCATCGCGCCGATCGTATCACCGTGGTAGCTCCCCCTGAGCCCGAGCACGCCGAGCTTCTTGCGATCCGCGCCTTGAAGGCCATGGCGGGAGGAGAAGGCACGGAGCGCCATCTTGAGCGCGACCTCCATGCCTGTCGAGCCATCGTCGGAGAAGAAGGCGCGGGAGGCCCAGCCTTTGCCTGGACCTTCGTGGACGAGACGTTCGGCGAGCTTGAGGGCGGGGAGGTGCGTTGCGGTGGGGAACATGACGTGGCCGTAGCGCCCGGCGGCGCGGGCGGCAGCGAGTGCGAGCCGGGGGTGAGCGTGCCCGAGCGCCTGAGTCCACCATGAGGCGGAGCCATCGAGCTGCGGCTGGAGGAGCGAGGAGGGTGTGGTTTTAGTCGTAGAGGTTGTCGATGGTTGTTTCTTGCCGTTGAAGATCGTGAAGAAGTCCGCGTGGGCGCTGTCAATGACGTTCACGTCGCTCTCCCTCTGGACGTGCTCGTGCTGAACGAAGGGCCACCAGACGGTGTCGAGCGTTCGTCGAGGCATCGAGTCCAGTTCGGCGAGGCGCTTTTGGTGGCAGGCGTCAAGATGATCAACGACACCTGCAACGCCGCCATCTCTTCCTTCCTGCGCCACGCTCGCGTAGTATTTTTCGGTTGTGGCAAAATTTTGGTCGAAGTCGCGCTGTTTGTCTGGAGGAGGTTCAACCGCCGTAACGTGTACTCCACGCTCGGCGAAGTACGGGTTAAGGTACTCAAAGTTGCGGTAGTAGGCGTCACGGAAGAGCAGGATGGCATCGACGATGTAACCCCGGAGGAGGAGGGACTCGTATGCGGAGATCGTGGACGAGATACCGCCGAGGCGAGAGTCGCCGACCAGGATGGTGGGTAGGAACAGCGGCCGGTAGGCGTCCAGCTGGGTGGTGCCGGAGAGTGTCGGACTGTGTACACCTACACCACAAGGACATGCAATCATCATCATATTCGTGAACCGTTGGAACGGGGTGCCGCGATCACAGGAACTTACTACTACGAGCGAACCTCACCTCCTGCTGTCTCCACATACATATGCGACGGGCGTGCGTCGGACGCATATAAGGCCATCTGCCGAATGTGGCTTGCGACGGAGTTGACGAACGCTTCATCGGAGGGGATGACCACCTGCCGGTCGACTTTATGAGCAAACGGCGAACGAGAGCCAAGCTTGCCATATGTGCGCACCTCTTTCTTGCCCGCATCGATGGCCATCGTCGCAGCCAAGTGCGGGCTCACGGGCTCGTCGAAGCGAAAGAGACATCTCGGGTGGACCAATTTCGCGTTTGGACCCGCAAATCGTTTGACGTGCCTGCAGCATCATCGACCCCCCGTCAGGCCCCCATCTTTACGCGGAAAAGGGCGGAGAGCACGCACGCGTCGTCTGCATCTTCCAACGGTCCCGTACTGACCGGCTTCAGGTAGAATACCTGTTTTTCTTTCGCGGCCGAGGCGCGGACGAGCGCGGCAGTGAGCAGGGTCTTGCCGACGTCGGTATTCGCGCCAAAGACCTGATGTATGCGCAGATTCTTGAACAGGAGCGACATCCCGCGCCGCCTTGCGCTCGAGCTCGGAGGGGTTGATGAAGTCGGCGACTAAGAGAGCATGAAGGTCGATAAGACGTGCGCGCACGAACTGATCAAGCCCGACTTGGCGTCGAAAGCTTGGGGGACGAAAGGGCGAGAAAAAAAGGGAATAATTGCTGTTCCACTCCCGACTATGACCGCACACCCCATCGACGGCCGTTCTGTCCCCGACGCCCTTGTGCTCGCTTTTGCTTCCGCGCCGTAATCATTTCCTAGAGCGCACTGCACAAACGAACGCCTCCATCGAGAACAAGGGTCATACGTAGAACATACAGAATCTCGCCCGATGTCGTCTCGCCGTGATGAAATACCACCAGAAGTCCTTGCCGGACTCTCCGAGAAGACACGGGCCTGCTTGGACCGCCTGCGGCGTCACACACCCGACTCTCTAGACTTGTTCGTCGCGCGATCTACTGTAATAGACGCGGTACCCGTGCTCAACGTACCCGCTCTCGCTCTCGCTCTGGTCGTCGATATGGATCCGATCGCGAACCGACGTGTAGGCCGGACGTATCGCACACCCGTCGCGCGGCGGTATTGCTGCTGCTCTTCGAACGCGAGGGGAAGCTGAGGGTGCTGCTCACGACGCGCTCCCAGAAGCTGAGGAGTCATCCGGGTCAGACGGCGTTGCCCGGGGGAAAGGTGGACGATACGGACGCTGACGCGGAGCACACAGCAGTGAGTATGTGCGGTTGGTCGCAATGGCATCGTCTGAGTATCGTGCGTTGCAGCGACGGGAGGCGTTCGAAGAGGTCGGTTTACCCATCGACAGCCCGCATGTACACCATCTCTGCAGGCTGAGGACGTTCCTCTCCGCGTCGCGACTGCATGTTACGCCTGTAGTCGTCTTCTTGAGCGATCCTTCGTTACTTGAACATCTGAACAAGAACGCGGAGGAAGTGGACTGCATATTCGACTGGCCTTTCGAGGCGATCCTCGATCCGGAGCTCCTGCGCGAGGAGGAGGAGACGCTCGTCCCGAGGGGAAGCGAACATTGGTTTTACGACAAGGAGTTTCACGTGAGCTCTCACTACACCATTCACGTACTTGAAGGGAATGCTAACCTAGCGATGCTCGGATTCATCCTAGACAATCAACGACGTGCCGTTGGACTGGCTGGGCGGAACGCACTACCGCAACCACAGGTTCCGCAGCTCGGCCTCGCCGGTAAAGGGCCTCACCGCAGACATCCTCGTGAGCACTTCCCCTGTTATGTTCTTACCCCGGACCGCATCGTTAACACGACGCCCCAGATCGTGGCGGCGCAGATCGCGTACGACCGCCCGGCGAGCTTCGAGCCGTACGCGCCCGATCAGCTGTTCGGCGTCGATGCCGTATCTTACGTCCAGCAGCCGCAGACCAAGCAGAAGGACATCGGAGCCTGAGCGCAGACATCATCGCTATCTCATCAGCTTTATTGTCAATGTAATGCTTTAGCGCGACCCGCCCGCCTGTTTCGTCGGTCAATAGAGGCACGTTGCGTTTCGGAATGTCTTCGTATGGATCCGGTTACCACATCGGAGATGCGGCTTCCCTACTGCGATCACGAGTTGCCTGAGCGCTGCATTACACACTATTGAACGCTTTGCAGGCCGTTACCAAAGCGGCGAGCATAACAATGGGGGCATGCGTCACGCGTGACGGATCGGACAATAACGGTCACAGCGCGTGTGACGGTGTGACAAGTCGAGGCTTCTTTACGTCACATGTCACACTCACCGGCCTATGGTCCCGTTCTTATTGTCATTGTCCCAGAATGGGCGGAGGGCCGTTATTGTCTCAATGCTACAAAACCATGGCCATCTGGGCCGGAGCGGGTCGTCTGTTCTCTCACTCAGATACGACGACGGTGTCGGCGACTCCTCTCTTGCATTGACTTCTGTTCTCATTACGACCTCACAACAACCAACCATCCACCTTTGGATTCATTGGATCAAGTTCCCCGCTAGACATTTACACTCATGAGTACCAGTGAGTCTCGTACGAATGTACTCGGAGGGACTGGAGGCTGATACGAGCTTCTGCCAGTGATGACCCCCGAGATTAACTCCGTCCCCAGTTTGAGGAGACGCAGCAGCGTGCACACACGCAGCTCTCTCTCCTTGCTCAAGCATCGTTCCGTCCATGTGCTTCCAGGTAAGAATATATCTTCTATCTCCTGCGGCATGCGTACTAAATTCAGCTTCTGCCTCTAGAACTTAGCGAAGCCGACGAAGAAATTATATTCGGCGTCACTTCTCGCCGCAACGGCGACGGAGACGACCACCGGCTCAGCCGCCGCCTCTCCGCCGCCCTCGACGAAATCACGCTCGACGACGCCCTCTTCTTCGCCTCGTCGCCCCCGCGTCCTGCCCCGCAGCCGCCGACGCCGACGACGATGCCCCGCGCCAGCAAGTCCACCTTCGGGCCCTCCCCGCTCGACGACGACGAGCCGCTCTGCCCACCCTCGGCCGACTCCTTCTGCCTCACCTTCGCGACCGACGGCGCCAGCTACGGTTTCCCCCGCCCGCCGCCCCCGACGACGACCACACCCAAGTCTTCTACCTCGAGCGACACCTCGAGCGACGCCTCGACGTCGCGGTCACGCTCCAAGAGCCCCGCCCCGTCCGTCGCGAGCAGCAGTAGCAGCGGGAGCAGCACCGCGCCCACGACGCCCACGCACTCCGACGATGAGTTCCCGGCCGCGAGCCTGCTGAAGGTCCAACTCGCCAACATCCGCCCCTTGTCCATCCATAAGCCCGCGACGCCCGAGCCGCGGTCTGCCTCCGGCGCCTCGGATGACGAAACCGATGACTGCGACAGCGACGGCGAGTGGTACGCCTCGCAGTTCACCGACATGCTCGCCGCCCCCGTTGCCCCCGCCACACCCGCGCCAAGTGAACGCGCGCGCCCGGAGAGCTTCCTCCCTCCTCCACGCACGCGAGATAGCCAATGCTCGGAGCCGCCCTCGCCATCGAGTCCTCTCCCGAGCACGCAGCTCGACCCCATGTTCGGCTCCACCAAGGCCCGGCGGCGCTCGAGCAAGATCCCCGCGCGTCCGCCCCCGCCTCCGCCGCTCATGCTCCTCCCTCCCACCCCGCCGCCCGCGATCTGCATCACGCCGACCGACTCCTCGTACTGCTCCTCCTCGTCCTCGTACGACCACTTCGACTACCGCAGACCGCTCCCCGCGCGCGAGTCCGTCCCGACCGACGTCTTCGAGCTCGAAATGGACGGCGACGAGCTCACCTTCCTCCTCGCCTCCGATGCCGCCACGCCCGCGAGCCCCGCCCCCTCCGACGCCAACTCGCTCTCGACCGGCGTGTCCGCGATGTCCATCGTCGACTTCATCATGGACGACCTCCCGCTGGATCTCACCCTCCACCTCGAGTCGTCCCTGGAGGACCTCGACATCGACTGGACGCCGCGGCGCGCGCCGCCCCTGCCCGTCTCGCCCGCCCGCTCCACCGCCTCGACCGAGCCCGTCACGGACTGGGCCGCGATGGGCGTCCTCCCGCAGCAAGACAAACCCGCGCCCGCCCTGCGCTCGCGCTGGTCGTCCTCGACGCTCGCCTCCGTCGCCGAGGCGCAGAGCCCGAGCTCGCCCGGCTTCCGCATGCTCAATTTCTACTTCGCGAAGAAGGGGTCCAAGGGCAAATCGCCCCTCTCTGTCGCCTCCACGTCCTCCACCTCCAACTCGACCTCCGCGTCCGCTTCTGCGTCGTCGACGCCCACCAAGGGCCGCGGCCGGCGCATCAGCATGCACGTGCCCTCGCTCGCGTTCGGGCATAACAAGGAGAAGGAGCGCGAGGCCGCGGCGGCCAAACTCTTCGGCGGCGGCGCCGCCAGCACCGGGGCGCAGGTCAAGCGCGCGAACAGCGCGACGAAGAAGGTCGAGTTCGACGTGGTGCACGAGCTCAGGCGCGGCGTCGTCCGCCGCGGGAGCCGCAGCTCGCAGGAGTCGGTCGCGTCGCGGGACAGCATCCTCAGCGACGGGAGCTCGTCGAGCAAGGGTCTGCCGAGCAGGAAACCGATCCCCGTCGAGATCTTCATGCGCCGATGAACGCCGCCCCCGGCGCCCCCCTTCCTTCCTGCCTCTTCTACCATCCAACCATCTGCACACATCACAGTTATCACGTTCATGCCCACCAACATTCTTGCATAACACCCATCGCATGCTGTATCGACAGCCCGTCACGATTTTGTAGCATCTTTTTATTCACCTCTGTTCATCGTTCACTGTGTCCCTCTCCTTGACTTAGATGTATCCTTCGTTCCCCTACTCTTCTGCCACCAGTATAATATGGCAATGCCACCCTCTTTGTTTCCGTAGCTGCGCACAGGATGTAAAAATGATGTATACGTATCACATTCCTTAATCAACGCTTTGTGCTTCACGAAGGACAGTATTTTGCAATAAGGTCGACTCCTTTAGAGCGCCACGACTGTACATGTCTGAACATCCGCGTCGAGCGATAAATTCAAGTACTCTGCTGTAGCTCGATGCAAGGGTCATCGCTAGCTCGCATCATCTTAATTATGCTCGCGACCCACCTGTTCGCCATCCTGACTGGGTCAGCCGCGATATCGATACTCCAGCCGACACTGACCAGGTGGACGCCCATCCATTACGACGTTCTGAATCGCAAACTGATCGACGTCTTCCTCAAAGCAGGATAGATCGTAGGGTTCATGGGGACGGTTACCCACGCCGACGGCGGCCCAGGACCGACGGGAACGCGCTCACACGCTCGGGCGCCTAATCGCAACATCCAACCTCAACGAGCGCGACACCGCGCTAGGCTAGCCAACGACATAACATCGCTCGCGACGCATGCTGACCTGGCTGCTTCCCGGTGCTAACCTACCACCACCCGGCATGATCTCGGTCTCGCAAACCCTCTCTGTCAGCGGCACTGGACCATTCATTTCAGGGGTTGCAGTACTTATTTGCATGACTATGGATCTATAAAACCTACGCGCCGCTCCGTAAAATGGACATCATAATTAAACATGGCTCCTACCGAACAGAAGGCTCTCGTTCTCCTCACTACGGGTGGCGAATTTGCTGTACAAAGCAAGTCGGTAACTACCTCCGGCGCCGGCGAGGTCTTGGCCAGGATTGAGTCCACCGCCTTGAACCCGATGGACTGCAAGGTCAAAGCCTTCGCCTTGCCCTTCGTCTCGTACCCCGGCGCTCTCGGTACCCACGGAGCTGGCGTAGTTGAGGAAGTCGGCGAAGGCGTCGCAAACCTCAAGAAGGGAGATCAGATGTAACGCTGTTCCCGCCTTCACCGTCTGCGAACCTCGGTGCTAAAAAGAACGTCCATCGCAGCTTGTGGCAGGGCTCGTTCACGGACGAACGAGCCACCTTCCAGCAATACGCCCTCGTGAAGGCCGACCTCGCCGCCAAGATCCCGGACAACGTCAGCGTTGACGAAGCGGCCTCTCTTTCCGATTACGCTTGCTACTGCCTTCCTCGGGCTGTATCAGGCGAGCCGGGACGGGCAGGGGCCGCAAGGCGGTGGCGCGGGTTTAACTCCCTTTTACGCCGCCCCAAACACCTATACTGGGCAACCGTTGGTAGTGCTGGGAGGTCCCACCTCCGCTGGTCAATATGGTAAGAATTTCCAGGCCCCACGAAGAGTGGTCATTCATCGCTGAACTTTGGCAATATATAGTCATTCAACTCGCCCGCTTGTCCGGGTTCTCACCCATCATCGCGACCGCGTCCGTGAAACATTCGGACTACCTCAAGTCCCTCGGCGCTACCCACGTCCTTTCTCGCGACCTGGCCACAGAGGCGCTCAGCGCCGAGATTGACGAGGTGACCTCGCAGCCGATCAAGTACGTGTTCGATACAGTCGGTGGTGCGCAGAAGGTCGGCTGGGCCCTGCTCGCGTCGGGTGGGACGCTCGTCCTCACGTTGCCGGCGGTTGAGGGCATCGTTCGCGGTCAGGATGGTAAAACCTTCGTGAACGTGGGCGGGAACGTCAACTATCCCGCTCAGAATGAACTCGGACGCGAGCTTGATGCGCGCTTGATCCAGCTCCTCGAGAGTGGTTTGATCAAGGTCGGACGACACTTTCAATGAACCGCACACATAGACACCGACTGACGTTTGGATTTCCCTTTTTTTTTCTTAGCCGAATCATGTTCAGGTGATCCCTAAGGGTTTGGCAGGTATCCCTGACGAACTGGGCCTGTTGCGCACGAACACAGTGAGCGGCACTAAGTTGGTTGCGCATCCTCAGGAAACGGCTTGACCGTCGGTTTCCATTTCTATCTCCTCGTCGACGCGTGCACCAGCCCTGTGGACGTCTATTTCGGGAAATGTGCACTACGTGTAATGTGAATGACAGCTGATCCGTGTGTAACCATCCGTGTCTCTCATGTACAGAATGAGATAGCTTGGATGAATCGCAGCCTGTGAGATCTCGTCCAGCCTCCGCGAAGATAGACTTTCTTTGGGCATTCATCCTCGCGAGGGCTACACTCTACATACTGCCCTTGAAGCGAAGAGGGGTTGTCCAAACAGTGGATTGGATTCACAAGGCCTCGTAACGATACATTTACAACATTGATCCGTTCGTGCGACTAACAGCAGAGCGGGCCGTCCGATCAGAGTGTCGCGATGATGGGGATGCACCCGATACCAATGAGGCCACTGAGCAAGCCTCCGGCTACGAGAATGCGATGAGCGAATAAGAATGTAGCCATCCGGTGCGGGATAGCGTACCATCGTCAGTGTTGTCACAGCATACAACGTTGTTGGTACAGGTGTTGCCTCCGATGCCGATGATGTTGAGGGGAGAGCAACCGAGGCCAATCGGAATGTCCACGCCTGTGTGTGTGAGAGAGAGAGAACGGTGAATCGTTCAGCGCGTCCATAGTCACATATACGGCGGCACTTACCCGAGACGACGATGTTGAGCAGCCCGAGGATGGTGCTGACGAGTGGGTCGCTCGTCGAAGAGGTGCTGCTGCAGCACTGGGTGCTGCCAGTGGTGCAGCCCGCGGGCGCGGACCCCCCGCGCTCGGTCAGATCGGTCGGGGAGGCGGCCGCAAGGATGACGAGCGACGAGGTGGCAACCACGACAGCAGAGGAGAGCTTGAAGAACATGGCTGTTGGGTAGCGAGTAGCGGAGGCGGTTGCAGAAGGCGTTGATAGCTCGAGTGCTTGTCGCGATTGCTAAGGATCTCGAAACGAATCTCCAGGTTTTATACCCCCAACCGACGACGAGGAGTCAACAGAGACATCCCATTTCGTCGCGACTTGTGTTTGTCACGATTGAGAATGGTTTGCGGCACGATTCTGGGGCACGGCGACGGGCCTGGAGTGGTTAGATGTCGAGAACTTCGATGGCTTGGGTGTCACGCCGGAGTGGGCGGCACCATCGCGCCGCGGCGATCTCACGTTCCCTGCAGGTCGCGTTGAGTACAATGGCGCACGTCGAGCAAGGAAAGGCCAATACACACAGGTTTGCCTTCAGCGAGACGGGATTCTCGAAGCGAGTATGTGAGCCTCTCGGGCTATGAGCGAAATCACGCGGGGGAGATTTTTCCAGCACGAGAGCAGCATATCAGAAACTGGCATTCTCTCTCCGAGGATCAGGGTTCCGCTCCTTGTTCTTCCTGTTATGGCTGATACCGATGAGCCTATCCTTAGACGTCTCCTGTCAGAATGATCTGATCGCATTGAGGTGACCTATAACAAGCTCTCCGGGTCGACCTTCACACAATGGCGGCTGGCGATCCGGATTCTCCTACGAAGATGGGCATCAATGGATAGTGGTTTCGGACCCAAGCAATCTTAACGAAGCAGCCCTCGATGTTCGCCTCTCGCATGATGTCTTGAATGTATTGATTACCTACATGCAGCTGAACACCCGCCTTGAGCTGCCGCAGCTGTTGTACAGTGAAGAAACAACACTGGCCAGAAAGAAGGTTGCTGTCTTCGCTCCGTGGATGAAGGTATGATTTCTGGTATATGAAGCACATGACGGGTCGCTTTTCGGGAGTCGAGGCCGCAAGCAGAAAACACGGGCAAGATACCCATGCAACTCAGGCACGCTGTGAAGTAACTGTTCAGCATGAATAGATTCAAATACCACTCGTGAACCCATTTGGAAAGTTCGTCGAAGAACAACGCACCTTGTCCGCCTGACTCTTCCGAGCGATTGATCCTCGGCGTCGCAGCACATAGAACGGTGAGCATCAGAGGATGCGGCAGGCACCGCCGCGCAGAGATTGCTGTGAGACCTGACTGAGAACTAATCATTCTATGCGGTATTCCTCCGAGTCTTCGCTGGCCTGACTTAGAGTGAGTTCTTGACATGCATGCAGGTGTGGACATGCGGCATGTGGCTCTCGTCGACAACCCTGAGAGGCGCCAGGGACATCAAGGCGTTGCCTCAGAGGGGGTATCACGGAAGTATAGTAGTGGATAGGTCTTGTGCCCCCTGCCTCGGCCTCGGCTCGCTAGGACCGCCGAGACAGTAGGTGTGGCACCCGCACAATATCGTGCGGCGCGGCGAACGGTGTTCCGCTAGCTGGAGAGTTCCGGACAAGACTATACCATGCCATTCGGTCTTGATGAAGCACCTCTCGAGTGGGAACCAAGCGAAGATGTGCAACCGACGGACCAGAGCGGCAAGCATGCAAACCCTGACCACGTGGCTGCGAAACGGCATGATCATCCTCGGCATGTTCCGCACAGTCACCCCGACGACTCGGGCTTCCGATCCTGACACTACGCATGAAGGAGAAAAATACTCTGTTGTAACCCGAACAGACAAGGAAATTTCATCCGCCGCTCTACAAGGAAGAGTTTATCGCGCTGAGAAAACGTCCCAGAGTATCTCATATATGTCAAGGTTTACAATCGTTACATGCCGTCATCAGACTCTTGTCACTATACGACCAAATACAGCCCATGGTACCCGAATCCCGAGAAAGCATTCCTACAAATCCCGATCATGCAGACCTTCTACTTAGAGGCCGCCGACGACAGGGAGAGAGCCGACGAGAGGAAGGCAATCGATGCCCAGAACGCCTGTGATTCCGCTGAGCCCGCCGAGAAGTCCAGCTGCGATGTCATACGCGCGATTAGTGAGGGGTAAGGTTGCACTACCTGAAAGGTGCGTACCATCTGCAGTGCTGCTGCAGCACAGCAGGTCCCCGGTCGCGCAGGTGAGGATGTCAACCGGGTCGGTGCAGCCCAGGCCGATGGGAACAACGGAGCCTAAAACAACAAATTTACTCATTAGTCGTTCATCATAAACTCGAATATACGAACTAAGGCCCGGGAGGATGTCGAGCAACCCGAGGATGGTGCTGATAATACCGTCGTCCGAGGACGCGGTGCTGGTGCAGCACTGGGCCGTCGTGCTGCTGGAGCAGCTACCCAAGCCCAGCTGACGCTCAGAGAGGTCAGTGGGAGAGGCGGCAGCAAGGAGGGCGAGCGACGAGGTCGCAACCAAGAACGCGGAGGAGAGCTTGAAGAACATCTTTACTGAGTAGATAGCAGCGAAGGCGATTGCAGAAGGCTTTGGAGCTCGAGTGCTTGTCGCGATTGCTGACGTCTTGGAGGGACACAGGATCCAGTATATATACCAGAGAGACCAGAGAAATGAGTGACATTTTCTCTCGTTTATCGTCCTCGGATCGTGAGCAACAATGGTTTGCGGCGTGATACCAGAAGATAGTGACCTTCCTGCCGTGAAAACATAACGAGTACTTCTCCCGTAAGGTTGAACGGAGCGCGAGTGTGAACGGCATCCCGCCGCGACGGCAAGCTCGCGTCTCTAAAATTGTGTCGAATTCGATTCCGTCCATCAAGCTGTAGAAAGATAGTATACGGAGGTGTAGTTTCAGGATCGGTGCTTCGCGAGGTGGACATGTGAACATTGGCTGTGAACGGAATCGTGTGCGAGAGTTATTTCGCAAACATGAACACAGGGTATCATGATATCACCTTTCTCCTCGGACGAACTGCAGCTGTTCGGAGTATCTTGGGCCTATGTTTGAGACTTGAGGGCGTATATGGGTATGTCACGGAAGCAGCATCGCGAGCACTAAGTTGCTCGTTACATGCAACGTTGAAACCGCCCGCGCCTCGTCATTGTGTCCGTACGAGATGATGACCATGGATGTATGTTTTCGATGAGTACATTCAGTGTTCACTTCGCATGGCATTCTAGCGAAAGCTATTTCGTTGGCCGAAATATCCGCTCCTATAATGATAGTGCGCGTCTAGAATGCGGCACATGACGACTTTCCCTCTGCAATCGAACGTTCATGTGTCGCCGCCGGTAACGAGAAACACGGGCATGATGGCCATGCGACGAGAAAGGCACCATGAGACGCAAGGCTGCAGGGCAGGTGCACATAAGGCAGTCAGGGATGAACCTATCTGGCAAGTCCGTCGAGGAAAGAATAGAAAGAAAGAACCTGGGTGGGTCCAGCCTTGCAAGCTGATCCTCGGCATCCAGAGCATACAACGGCGAGGTGCGGCATACCGTATGCACAGGCACTGTTGTGAGGATATTGCCGTGAGATCCGACGGAGAATTGGTCCATTGTGTGCGGCAATCCTCCGTCGCTGTGATCGTCCGAGTAGGTGAAATGTGTAGGATTGCAGGTACAATCCCATCAAGAGCCTTGCGTCCGCTGTGAGAGTGGGCGTCAATTGAAGTTCGGCGGAACTACAACGGAAGGTATGCATCAAATTTAGGTCATCTTCGTTGTGTATTCTTGACAGAGCATAGCCCGAGTGGCGACCATGCGACTTTGTGTCTTCTGCGAGCATGACGGTGACCGCTGGCAAGGAGGACAAGATCCCACGTGGCCGCGAGCAACGCATTTCTCGACCTGATTCTCACACTTTTTCAAACAATCACACGATCAGTCACTTGTACATTGCGATGATGACCGCGTTGCTGTGTACGCCGGATCGAAAACACACAGGAGCTAATGGAACGTATAACAATCAACACATACATAGCGAAAAAGGGCAACAATATCTACAGCTTCAAGTTGCTACAATATGAAAACTGTTACTACTGCAATTCTTTGTCATGAGCTAGTATACTATGGTCCTCGCACATTGCGGACAGCCATCGAGCTTCCCAGCGCTTCAAGCTTCTCCACTCCAATAGGAGCTTAGCAACAGATGAGGGTCGCTCAAAGGCCCCCCACCACCGGGAGGGAGCCGACGAGGGGGAGGCAATCGATACCAAGCGTGTCAGTGATGGGGTCGAGCAAGCCGAGCCCGCCGAGCAGACCACCGCCTATGACGGCATATGTGAGGAACGTAGGTTTCATATTGTTCGATAAGAATACCATCTGCTGTACTGCTGCAGCACAGAAGGTCCGCGGCGCAGTCGATTTCATCGACGACCGGAGTGCAGCTGAGCCCAATAGGAATCACGGTGCCTGACACAGGTGAGTAGCTCAGTATGCGGTTCGCTATTCGAAAACACCAGCATGCTCACTTGTGACAATTTCGAGCAGGCCGAGGATGGTGGCGATGATATCGTCATCCGATGAGACAGCGCTGGAGCAGCACTGGGCCGTTGTGTCGCTAGCACAGAGAGCATCCTGCCGCTTAGAGAGGTTGGCAGGAGATGCAGCCGCACCGATTGCCAGCGACGAGGTCGCGATCACGAGAACGGAGGAGAGCTTGAAGAGCATAATTGTTGAGACGAGTAGCAAAGGGTTAGAAATCCCGAGATTTGTCGCGATTGCGGACGGCTCCAAGGGGGAACGGGTCTCGTATGGCTCGTATATATCTGGTTGACAACATGAGACCGGTACGTTTCCTGGGCCTGACACTGCCTTGCATCGTGCGCGACAGTGGTTTGCGGCGTGATGCCGGGAGACCGCGACCGGTCATTTAACACACATCGCCGACCAATGCTACACAGATTACACCTGGAACTATGCGGAGGCTACGGTGCCAGACGACACACCAGTTAACACGCCAGTTATCATTGACAGTCTTATGTAGTACGACGACGCATAAGACAGCAGGGTGAGTAGTCAAGAGGGCCGTATTTTGCAAGCATCGGTTGTGAGAAAACTCGTGAGAGCGGCCTATCTCTCGGATCTATTATTACAACCTTCTCTCTCGAACGGACAACTTCCGCCACGTGTTCGGGGTATCCCCGACGGTCTAGATACGTTTAAGATGACCCATCGTGTACAAACATCAATTTAATCAGGCAGGAGTCCATTTAGCAAGTCTATTAACGGAACGATAGAACTTTGGTCCTATTAGATTCCCACAAAACGGCGAGGCGCAACATCTACAGGCACAATCGAGGGAAACCGACGGCTGGTTACCCTATAATAGCTCAAGTCGGAGGGCAAGGAAAGCTTCATAGCGGCCCTCCTACAGTGATGCTGGACACATCGAGGAAAGGCCACATCATAACAGGGGAAGCGATACGAACGAGTTCGCGTATAGAGGAACGATAATGGGTGGATTTTTCTTTTATCTTGTACGGAAGGTTGGCAAAAAAATTCATCTTCGCGCATTAGCGAAGTTTCAATGTAATCGCAAGCCTCGTATCTTCGTTAGATATTCTCGCATGCGGGTAGGGTTTTACTCTCACTTCATCAGACTTAAGCATAGGCAGGGCAATTGTCGTAATTTCATAAGATCGTCAGAATATCGTATATATCATATTCACAACGATATCAACCTCCGTAATCCGGGTTCTGAAGGCGATCTTGCACCGCACAACGTATGAAAAAATTGGTGGTAGCTCATACTCAAAGACCGCCGCTGCCGACGACGGGAAGAGAGCCAGCGAGAGGCAGGCAATTAATGCCGAGTTCACCGGTGACTCCGGTAAGAAGACCTCCAGCTACACCGGCGAGCACGATCAGCTCTCTGAAAGGGTTCTTATTGAGGAGAAGGGAGAAGGAGCCACGTACTAGCTGAAGTGCTGCTGCAGCACAGCAGGTCCCCACTGCAACCGAGCAGGGAGGAGCTGCACCCAAGGCCAACCGGAATGACCGAGCCTAGTAGGGAATGTCAACAGAATAGTTCGTCATCGACCAGCACTACGAAGGTACTGACCTGCTACGGGGAGCTCGCCAAGCAGTCCGAGGATGGTGCTGATGAGTTGGTCACTCGAAGAGGAGGTGCTCGAGCAGCACTGAGACGTCAGGCCGCTGCCGCAGCTTCCCAACTGCCTCTCAGAGAGGTCCGCAGGAGAGGCGACAGCAAGGATGGCAAGCGACGAGCTCGCTAGCACAACGGCAGAGGAGAGCTTGAAGAACATGGTCGTAAGGTACCAGGGTAGCGGGGGCGATTGCAGAAGGAGTCGAAGCTCGAATGCTTGTCGCGACTGCTGACTGCATAGTCTCCGGGGAACTCGTATATATACTGAAGTCCACCCCAAAAAAGGTCACTAAGTTCTTGCTGTAACGTTCCTGGAATCATAGACGAAGATAGTTTGCGGAATGATATGGAAAAACGCGTACTCGCCGGTAGGAGAAACACCTCGATGTTTCGCGGAAATGTAAAGAGCATCCCGCCGCAACGGCAATCTCCCACGTCCCTGAAGTGTTTCGAGTAAGACGACGCTCGTATCGCACGCAGGATGATACTTCGCGGGCAGACATGTGAACAAGATCTCATACACGAATACTTTTTCCGAATCAACAGGTCGGTATAACATCTTCTCTCTCGGACGGACGGCTTCCGACGGTTGTTCCGTATGGTATGATGAGTATGGAAGGGTCTATAATCAAACGAGTCATATCGTCACGCTGGATCAAGTGCGCGGCCACGCGAACTCAGTGCCTGACCTGTGGTTGCCGGCATGCCACATTAAACATAGCGTACGCGAAAGAGCTGTGGTGAAAAGGCTCACAAAGTCACAATGATTCCCAGGATGCTGCGATTGCAGCAGTCGCCTTGCGATGGTATAGATACGAGGGACCAAGCCGCTCTGCCTCGACGTCGCAACTTAGCACTTGCGAAACTGCAGTGATCTGATCTTGTGAATCGGTTCATTCTAGGGTGTGAAAGTACATGGTGGTCCCTCTATCGGAGGTTGGAAAGACAAGGGTTGCCGCAGTCAAGAGAGGTGTGCGATGGTCTTGCAAGAATGGTATGGTGAGAGAAAGGGCTGCCGGGCGTAAGCTCATCGTACCATCGGATATGCGTCCATCGGGTAAGGCCATGGAGAGAAGAACAGCAATTGAATAGCTTGATTGTCGTTTCACTGATCCTCGGCATCGTCCTACATAGTACGGGCGGATATCGGAGGCTGCGGTAAGCGCGGCAGCGAAAATTGCCGTGAGATTTGACGGAGAACCAGTCTAGATGTTGCCGATTACATGCTGCAATCCTCCGTGTAGGATCCATACCGATGCAAGCACGATCGTGATTTGTCGTCGGTAGCGAGGCTAGTAGAACTGCACCAAAGACAAAAGGACGCGAAACTACGATTGATGTGAAGAGTCATCCAGATCTCAGAAAACAAACGAGGGTTCAGGTATAGGTGTCAAGCATAGCTAAAGCGCGGAATAAGCGCAGGCACTGGGTTCGCGACGGACTTGCGCATGCAGGCTTGCACAAGCGGGGAAAGCCGGCGGAACCACGTGGCAGCCGGCATTTGTCTGAGCCGGTTTCCACGGTCAGCCACGCGGTCTCACGATCAACGGCCGTCAGAATCGTCTCCTTGAAAATCGAATTCAAATTTCAACGTCACTTCGTCGATGCCATTTGTCTCAACAGGAGTACTATCGTGCGACCACTAATGCAATGCCGATTGCATTGGGGCTGTATCTTGCTCAATTCTGGCTTAAATCACATGAACATTGTACCAGTAGATAGCGTTAAATGTATAGATACTTACTCCAGCGTTGTGAATATTTCCACCCACAACTCAGCTTGCCAGGACGATGCCGGCGAGGGCTGCTACACCCCCGCCAACTTCACGAGACTGTCACCTGCGGTCACGCCGCGCCGAGCGTGCCGAGTGCTTTTCTCCCACGCTTTGACCGCGTTGCAAGCCGATTCGCGTCAATATTCAAGCTCCGCACGAATTCCGCTCGTCACGTTGAAGCAGTCTCCGGCCTGAATGTACATATGGTCCCGTATAGAGGGTGCAAAATGCGTATCGGGATCAATAGATGAGTTAAAAAGATGCTAAAGAATGTCCAGAAATATTTCTGTGATTTTTGGTAGCTCGATCCCCCGAAGCGAGGCTGTAGGATCAAGGCGACCTGACGTTTGAGGACCATTGCACGACGATGATGAATTTCTGTAGCCTCCCACACAGGAGTGTTCACCTTGCGCTTTGTTATGTGCATTATATAGATGCATGTGGTGCTGTTGATTTTTTCTGGGAGCCTAAAAACGAGCCGTTGAGCTATGGCAGTGGACTGAATCCAAAGATTGCATTAGTGGTCCATATTGCATTAGTGGTCCCACGATAGTACCTTCTCCAAGTTCTCATTGCTCTCACTCGCACTGGAAGTGCATGATCACGGTCCTGCTGTATCGTCGCATGAATCGTTCTGTCAACCGCGATCGGACTAGAGCGAGGTTAGATTTTCCTCGGTGACGCCGGGAAAACATGTCGGGCTCTTCAACCTCTTCTCTGGTGTCAGTGCACTCCAAATGCACGTTCTATGACCTCGGCTGTATGACAGCTTGTCGCGAACTGTGATTAAGTTCTCCGACATAGGAGAAAGAAGCGCGGGGATGCCCGTCGGCAGTGGTATGTCTCGGATGTCTTAGTTTCAGTATGCTTCCCTCACGATACGTTCTGGCTCACAGCGAAGGAGGGCGCGACATGCATCCAAGTTTTTCTGCAGCGCTCTGGCGGGTATAAAGCCTTGTGGAGTTCAGCGACATGCATCCAGCAACAGCTACAACCACTCGTGCTACACAGCCCTCTCGACTCTCCTCATCCACCAAATTCACAATGTTCAAGCTCTCTGTTGCTGTCCTCTTCGCGGCTTCGTCGCTGGCCATCTTCGCCGTTGCCTCCCCGGCCGCGCTCGTCGCTCGCCAGAACTGCGACACCGGCTCTGTCCAGTGCTGCAACACCCTCACCAACTCGACCGATCCATCCACTAGCGCCATCCTTGGCCTCATTGGCGCCGTCGTCTCCGGTTCGTAAAGCATACCCCGCAATTTTGATCAAATCATAGCTAATCTCTCTCGTTCTCCAGGCGTCGACGTCCCGATCGGTCTCGAGTGCAACCCGATCACTGTTATCGGCGCTGGGGCCAACGGCTGCAGCGCCAGCCCCGTTTGCTGTGAGAACACCAACGATGGTATGTCGTTTCAAACATTTATGCATACATGACCGTCGCTGATCCAGAATCATAGCCACCGGCGTCCTCTCAGGTCTCGTCGGCATCGGCTGTGTTCCCGTTGATGTTACTGCCTAAACGCTGCCCTAAACGCATTTCGTGCTCGATTCACCTGCATCGCTGCTCCTTAATCATTGCATACTTTCTCAAAGACCCCTTTCCTAACACTCTTTCGTATTTCGCGCTCCAGACATTTGATAGTATACCCATAATCTGTATGTCTGCACACCATTGATAGTGAACAGCGCGCTTTTGCACCTTCGTGCACCATGAGCGAACCGTTGAGATCCAAACTTAGCATCGCGTTCGCGGAAGCCCGTACCACGCGGTGCCGTCGTAATTAGGTAAGCATCAATAGATTTGATTTTCGAAGGAAGCGCTTCGAGCTACGAAATGCCTCCTTTCACCTACCTACCACCGCCTGCTCGCACGGATATGTATCACGGCGTCAGCATTTGTCCGCGCTTTCCTCGTGTCTCCTGCGGCCATCCAACCAGAGACTGGCCGAACCGGTCGGCTCTGTTCGTTCCTCATTTGAGACATTCCGTCGAGGGCAAGTTCCATCCTCGCCTCGGCGGAATTGTGTCTGATGCGCAAATTACCGCGTGTCGCTTGTTGCCGTTCCCTGTGACGAGACTAATTATTCGACTACTTCGTAATGCTCGACGAGGCAAAAGGCTATCCGTCTAATCATTCTGCAGACCACCTGCGGCGAATGTTGACCATGCGGTGATTAATATGAAGGCGTTCTATACCAGGGCGCTCCAAAATCGCTCGGAAACCTCTCCGCAGCGATCTTTGCTAACCTGACGTGATCGATGCTGGGACGCTACTCTGGAGATCGCCAAAACCACTCATCCTGCGCTGATCGGATCCTCGTACTTAGGTTGCGTACTTCCCATTTGGAAACGTATCGAGACAGCGTGCGCTAAATCACCACGTTGAATGGTACTTGGCGTGCAGTGAATCGCCCGAAAACAGGGACAGTCGTCCTATCCTTCGGGACGTACACGCGTTATGGCAACCACCACGCCAACGGTCGGTATTAATGGGCCTATTCCCGCTTCCGCGTAATCAACGGCGCGGCCGGTCTTCAAGCTTCAATGTATCCCATTCGTCTCTGTTCCGGAGGTTCTGCATCCGTTGATTCATCTTGTTCGTCGGGAACTTCGGTAACGGGGCTAGAACGGAGTTCACTGATTGGAAATTGTGACGCATCATGCACTAGGATATCTACTCGACGGACTTGCCTATCACGAACAAAGCGATAGTCCTCGAGCGATGTATCGTACAGACCAAAGAAACCACCTGGAAGGCATCAGCGATGTGTATAGCGAGTGAGTAAATACATTATTCTCGTCTGGTGACTCTGACGAAGGCAAACACTCCACTTACATTACAGGAAGAAGACGGGCAGCAGGTCTTCACCCCCGTTCCTGAGAGCCCGAGCGCGCTTTCGATGCCCAGTGACATCAGGCGTACGTCAGGCGGGGTGCCGTCCTGTCAGAGCTGCAGGGCCCAATTTCAGCCAACGATGCTCGACACCTCAATTTCACCTAACGGTGCCCTGTTTCCGATCGCTAACACTCCTCACCGGCGTGTTCGAATCAGGAAGAATTACGTTGTTCCTGCGCATGGCGACGAGCTCCACCGCCCTAGTCCTCCATCGGCCGCGCCGCTGTCTTGACGTGCATGTGCGTGTGTTCATTTGCGAGGGGGTTGCGAAAGGTATAAAGCGAGGGACGAAGGCAGCGAGAAATCTTCAGTCCAAAGGATCCCGTCTCGCAGCGAAAGCACCTACACCTACCCAAGCCCCTTTCAGCATGTTCGCTCGTATCCAGACCGGTTTCGTTGCTCTCGTCGCTTTCAGTGTCCTTGCTGCCGCCGCTCCCGGTGGTGGTAGCGCCCCTACCACAACTGTCACAGTGGTATGTACCTTCTGGACGCGCCGCTGCATTATTGTCCTTAATGCTTCAATTACGTTCAGACTGCCGTGCCTACGGCCACGACCGCCAGCCAATGCAACACCGGGTCCATTCAGTGCTGCAACTCCGTCCAGAATGTATGCAATCGCGATCAGGCAATGCCTGACCTTGAGAAGTTCCGTAGCTGACTGTGCATCGTTACCAAGGCATCCAGCTCTAATTCCAACTTTCTGCTCGGCTTGTTGGGAATCGTCGTGTCTGGGGTTGACGCGCTGGTTGGTATCACATGCTCCCCCATCACAGTCATTGGTCTTGGCAACAGCGGCTGCTCTGCCAACCCCGTTTGTTGTGAGAATAACAGCTTCGTGCGTTTTCTTTTTAACTTTCGTGAATTGCACGGTACTCATGGCCTATCCTCAGGGCGGCCTCATCTCTCTTGGCTGTGTTCCGATCACTTTGTGATTGTATTGCTGAGCACATTGGAGAGATGCCAATCCCCGAGTGTTAGTACTGTGTGCTGGTAGCAATATGCTGTAACTACGGACTCTTCATGTGACCTCAAATTGCACCGTAATACTTTCGCGCCGGGATCAGCTTAATACAACTGTGCCGCAATCGCCGAGACCATGCTTGAGCTGCGGCGCGTAATTGCCTTTCTGGGTATCTTACAGCCACCGCCAAGGGTTGGCTGTGTACCAGCACGTGGGGCATCCGGGAAGCGCCCGTCGGCTCTCACTTCTCCGACGACGGCACGTCGCCCGGTGCTGGTAGTTCATTCGCTTGTCGCTCTTCAAAGATGCAAGGTACATCAGTGTATATTTTTGTGTGCTTCGTCATCTTAGAGACACACCAACAGGCTTCAACAAGTATTACCCGCCGGATTACGACCCGCAGAAACACAGTAGCTTGAATGCTTACAGAGGTATGTGGATCGTTGCGAAGGACGCAAGCTTGTCTTACGACTCGCCGCAGGAAAACATGCCCTTGGAGATAGGGCCCGCAAGATCGACCAAGGCATTCTGATCACCCGTTTTGAGCTCCCCTTCAACATCTGGTGGTAAGCTCGCATACTTCCTCTAGGACCTATCCCACCCCATTGATCGTCGCTCAGCGGAACATGCAACAACCACATCGGCATGGGCGTGCGTTACAACGCCGAGAAGAAGAAGATCGGCAATTACTATTCCACGCCGATATTCTCGTTCCGATGTAAATGCCACCTGTGCGATGGATGGTTTGAGATACAGACGGATCCGAAGGTGCGTTATAATAACGCTCCGACAGCGAATGGGACTTCATCGTTGACTCTCGCGCAGAACACGCGATACGTCGTCGTCTCCGGCGCCAGGCAGAAGGACGAGGAGTGGGATCCGGAGGAGAATGGTGGATATGCGATCCATGGTACGTGGCCTACCAGTTCTTCTTCATCGAAAGACCTGGCCATTTCCTACAGACACCGAAGCTGCCGGTCCCTCTGATCCACTTGCGGCTCTCGAGAAGACGACGGACGCGAAGAACCACGTGGCGAAGGTGCAATTACCACGGCTCGAAGCCCTACAAGCCGTCTCGGAGGCGACAAACGCAGACCCCTATGCGCACTCTCAGCGCATGCGCAAGCGCCTGCGAGAGGAGAAGAAGGTCGAGAAGGCGAAGACAGCTGTGGACGACGCGATTAAGAACAAATACTCGCTCCCGTCCGAGCTGACGCTCATTCGAGACGACGAGGAGAGCGCGAAGGCGGCGAAGGATGAATGGGAGGCGGCGAAGCGGGAGGTGGCGGAGAGGGAGAGTGCGAAGAGGCGGAAGCTCGTCGAAGCAGGGAACATGGTGCCGATCCTTCCAGGGACGACGACCTTTGCAAGGTCTACGGTCGCAAGCTCGGGCCTAGGGAAACGATCCTCCGGTGCGATTTCAGGTGTCGATGCGCTCAAGGCACGAATATTGCAGAACACTGCTCGACAGAGTTTAGCGCGACCGAAACCGCAACCCTGACCATTTCGAAAGTCTGTTTTTTTTAACACCACGATCTGCCGCACTGTATCATCAATGCATGGGGTAACGCATAACTGTACCGGTATCAGTTGTAATCAATTTAGACCTTGAGTAGAATAATCCTGAGCTTGAGGATGGGGGTGTGAACTCCTACGTAATCATCATAGCGTTGAGCCATTCTTACTTGCACCTCCGACATCCCCGCTCTACCAGCATCATGCGGGCCATATCCATCGGCGCTAGGCCGGCATGGCGGGCAACTGGAGGAACGCATGCCCCCAGCAGGCGTGACCGCACACAATCAAATACGGAAACATTCGGAATCGCTTGCTTTGCGACCTTCCGCCCCATCACCTCGCCATAGATCTTGAACTTGCTGGAAAACGCTTATTCGTACAGAAGGACGATGAAAGGCGGCAGCGAAAGTCTGTTGAACGCGCCATAATATCCGCGAAGCAGTTGCTCAATGGTCTATGTACTAAGCTCTTCAACCGGGATATCGTGAAACGGGCCATATTGGCGGCCGTCAGTCATTTGCCGATGGTTTGCGACGAAAAGGCACGTCCTGTTTGATTACAATTGTGCGACGTCGTTGCTTGACCCTGCTTTCCGCTTCACAGAATGCTCGCCACATCTTCGTCCCTTCCATTGCCCGCAATGGCTCTCTGTCTCTCGCCGCCACAACTGTCACCACCAAGTCTCGCGAACGGCAGGATCAATGACAGACCACATCAGGGCTCAAATCCCGACACCACTTGGCTGATCGCCAGTGGCCACCGTGCCTTCGTTTCGTCTTCACTCCACACATTCCGTGATTTGCATACTCGAGCGAGAGGCTTCGCTGGGTGTTATCTCGCGCTCGACACTTCTCAATTCCAAGCCGGATCCAAAGTCATCAAAAGTTGGAGGATATATCAGAGGGCTGGCGTGCAGCACCCTCAGACCTGGACCGGCGCGAACAACTCGTACACGGGATCGCCTCCGCGCCTTCGAAGCATTGCACCCATCAATCTGATAGGTACGTAATCACGAGGTGAAAGTGGATAAGGCCTGAACTCTAACAAGCCTATCAAACTGATCAACGTCAGAATTCTCCACCACACTTTTGTGTTCACCCCTGCCACATTTCGTACTCCGTCAATCTCCGACGAGTTGCTATTATCGTGCTGCCTGCCACACACTGCACTCGTCCGACCCACCACGATCCGTCGACCCACGTATACTCGACATCGCCTGGACTCGCGTTCTTCGTCAGCATCGGACAGATCGGGCCGGAAGGCGCGATTCGCGACCCTTCTCAGCCCATTGCTCCCCCAGATGATGCCCCGCACGATAAGATATTATGACGTAGCCCATCAGCATACGAGTGATAACTACTCGTACCTTTGACCCGGGGTCGAGTCGGTAGAGGACCGAAATCATCATGGCCCACATCTCCACCACATTCAAGTTGCTCGATGGCGCTGAGATCCCTTGGTTGGCCTGGGGGTGAGTGCGCATTGACACATACCGGATCATCCTTCGGGATATATGCTGAATGCGTCAATCCAGCACTGGCAGTGGCAAGGCAAGGACCGACCCCGTGGGGTTCGGGAAGCTGGTCATCGAGGCGGGGTTGAGGCACATCGACACCGCGCAGGGATACGACAACGAGAAGGAGACCGGAGAGTTCGTCGCCGAGGCCGCGTCTTCGGTGCCTCGGGAGAAGATTTGGATCACCTCCAAGCGTATGTCGATATTCCATCGCGTCGTGTGATCGTGCTGACGACGATCATTCGCAGTCTCGCACAAGGGTGAAGATCCTGTGCCGGTTTCTGAGATTCGTCAGAGTGTCGCGGAAACCACCGAACGTTTGGGCACAGTGCCAGATCTCTTCCTAATCCACAATCGTGAGTAGCTCGCTCCCCTGACAGCGGCGAGTGCTTATGAAGGCCGTTCAGCTTTCGTTCCTCCTGCGGGCGACTTGGTGGCTGCATGGAAGGAGTTGGAGGCCTTGAAGGACGAAGGAAAGCTGAAGTCAATCGGCGTCAGCAACTTCCGCCCCCAGGATCTCGAGCTCATCCTCGCGAACGCGAAACATAAGCCAGTTGCGAACCAGGTTCGTCTGAGGTCTGTGATCAATGCTCGAGAATGGGGTCCTGACGATGGCCCAGATCGAATATCATCCATATGTGCTCACGCACCTGGAACCCGTGCTGGCCATTCATGAGCAGCATGGCATTGTTGTCGAAGCCTTCGGGCCCCTCGTGCCATTGATCAAGCACCCGAACGGAGGGCCGATCAAGCCCATTTTGGAGCGGATCGCCGCCAGATTGTCGAAGGAAAGCGGTAAGTGTCGGATTTCAAACAGCTTCGGTGTGTAGCAGTAATGAATCCTCACTGATCTCACTTCAAACAGGGCAAGCCGTAGATGCTGCAACTGTCTTATTGCTCTGGACGAAGGCAATGGGCGTAGTCGCAGTCTCCAGCAGCGGAAACGCTGACAACATCAAACGACTTGCCGCTACGTACACCTCGCCCCTGCATCTCACTTCGGAAGAGGTCAAGGAGATATCGGACGTCGGTCGCACGGTACACTTCAGGCACTATGTGAGTGACTCTCGAGGACTACATGGTACCTAAACAAGGAGCTAATGCGTGGTCGAAAACACTCAGACCGAGCACATGGAAGTTGACTTCCCTCTGCCCAATCTACCCTCTCAATGAGAACGAGATTTCGGTCCAAGGATAACGGAAGTGTAATAACGAATGTATCGTAGGTTGCGACGTTTTTACGACACGAATTCAAGAACCGCGAATGCCAGCGTGGCAATTTGCCAGTAAAGCGCATAATCTGAAGTGCCAACTCATCCTCTCCTCCGTCACCTTCGCTTCCCCGTGCCGCAGTGAACCGGACCGTACTATGCCAACTTATGTTTGGTGGTCTGTGCATACATATCGGATTTCTTACGATCTCTAAGTACACCAAGAGAAGTCGTATGCGCCTCGAATTTCCTTTCCAGCTAGACCGGACACGTGGCAACTCGAACTCCCGCTACATCCTCTCGAGCTTCACTCGTTCAATCGTTCAATCATTCTCCACTTCTTACAATTCATTGAAAAACATCATCACCTCCTGTCGACCGTATTCATATCGACTGGTTGAGCAAGATTCCGGTGCCGTGACATGTGGTCGATGGCTGTGGCAGCGGGACAAGCTGTAGCAAGTGGTACCTGTGCCTGTCAAGACTTGCGGCATAAGTACAGCTCAAGCGCTCAAGTTCCGACTCTCAGACGGCTCGGTCTTCTTCCTCGTCGCTTAACTACCCTCGGACGAAGACAGTTTTTTTCAAGGCACCCGTTGCAAATGCCGGACTTCGGCGCATGGGCGCATATGGATGTCGCGACTGTCGACCCCCTCATGCAAACACGACAGGAATCGCATCAATCGGCCATTTTCCTAAGTAATATATCGTCTCCCGTTCTCTCTCACCAAGGCTGGGACGGTTTTCGACTTCAACCCCTCGAGGAAGCTTTGCAATCTTACAACAGCAGTGATGGACCGTGTCGACCTTCCGCATCAGTCGAGCTGCAAGATGCACATGAATCCATGACCACTGTAGATGGTAACGTTAAAATCCGTGTGAAGGAAGAGCCAACAGACAATTGGCCAATCTTCAAAGGTGAAAAGTATTTTTGACCCTCTTGGAGTACGCCAACTGAATTTTACGCGCTTCAGCCGTATCCTATCACCGTGCGGAGGGTGGCAAAGAGAATATTCGTCACCATGACCACCCGCGTTCATCCGTGCTCACTCCCTTGAAACTCGAGGCGAATGTAGAAAACATTTTTATGAGCGAGGACGTCATGCCCAAAGGTGCTCTACCCGCAACCATCAGATGGTCACTTCACTTATTATACTTAGGTCCGTCAAGTACGAAGCAATATGTTATGAACATCATATTGGGTTGCTGTTTTCCAACTCGTGCTTGTTATGTGAGCACAGACATGCTTCTTAATATCATAGCATTCACTAGAACGTACTACTGCTTCCTTGTGTTGGCCTAGAATCTAGCAAGCGCTATCAGATATGCGGTTGCAGCGTTTGCCGAGGACGAACTAGATGATGCAAAGCTCGTAATGTGTGTGGCTTTATACTCGCTGGTTCTCCCTGGGTTTACTCATTAAGTCGTTCAGACACCTACAACAACTCCAAGAGTACAGCACGCAAAGTAAATCGGACGATCTCCTCTTTAATCTCGTCAATTATCACCGTTTCCAAACATGGCTGCTATCAGTGCGGATGATTCCTCTCAACTGAACTTAGTCTGATCGACTGCCGACAGTTGAGCATGGAGCTTCAGCTAGGAACCGACACCAGTATTACAGACTCCGTTGCAGCTGATGACTTGGAAGTTCTACGGCGTATGAAGGTCCTGATAACGTCCACGGAATGGCATCCGCTTGTGTTTTCTCTTCGAGGAGATCAAGCAGATTCATTCCTCAATCTGCTGCAAGAAGTAACCTTTGATAGGCAATCGTGATTGCAGCATACTCATTGCTCATTGATAGCTGTTGGACTGCTCTGGGCCGTTCTTGCATCTGCGCGGCAAATATGGGGCGATGAAATGCCCCGACCATGTCGAACTCCTGGGGATGACTCGTCAGATACTATACAAGCTGTCAATCACGAGCGGTATTGTCCCTTCCTCCCTATACCTCAAGCGAATATGCGCGTCGTCTACGGATAAGCCGATCGGTTTAGGAGCGCACGCTGATGTGTATGGCGGCGTGTATGATGATCAGCCAGTTGTATTGAAACGTTTGCGGATGTTCTGGCAGGTCGCCGATGTGAGAATGTACCACAAGGTAATTATCATCGACGCTCCAAAGCATACCGAGCTCATTGCCCCAGATGCTCTGCCGAGAAGCTCTATCGTGGCGTCAGCTCAGACATTCGCGCATAGTCCCGTTTCTGGGGCTTGACCAAGACGTACACTCACCTTGCATCTGCATGGTTTCTCCCTGCATGCCAGGAGGGAATCTTCTCGATCTTGTGAAGCGTGAACGCTGGAAATCGGACATTATATCACCGGTATGACCGGCAGTTCTCCGTTGCGAGAGATTATCTAACATATCCATGCAGCTGGTTGACACTCTCGAGGGGCTCCGCTTTCTTCATAGCGAAGGATATATTCATGGTGATCTCCGCGCGGTGGGTTCATTGGTCTTTTGATTCTAAGATTTTCTGTTGTTCTCATGAGATTATCATGTAGGCCAACGTGCTCTTGGACGCGGACGGTCACGCTTGCCTTGCTGACTTTGGATTGATCAGTTTCCTCGAGGGTGCAGACCAATCTACCATGTGTGGCGGAAATCCTCGATGGATGGCTCCGGAGCTGGTCATTAGTGACAATTTTCAACGTACCCGAGCAAGTGACATGTATTCTTTCGGCTGTGTTTGCCTTGAGGTGAGATGCATATCATCGTATCCGCGATGTGGCTCTGACTTAAAATCGGCAGATAATCACGCTACAGCCGCCTTTCCCGGAAATGCGGATTCCCTCTGCTATTATTCGGGCCCTGATGGAAGGGAGACGACCAATCCGCCCCGCGAACAAGCAATGCATCGTTCCGGTTCTACATGAGAACCTATGGAAGATCGTTGAGTCTTGCTGGAATGCAAATCCCGGAGATCGCCCATCAGCATCTCAAGCTCTTGAGATTCTAACCGAACTTCAGCAATCCCAAAATCATCATGCACTGCTGGAAACCGCGAATGAGTTGGGCGGCAGCGACTCCAGTGCTGGAATACTATCTCCATCAACTGAAGGCGGTATCAATGACTGTTTCATTTACGGTCCAGAGCCTTTGGCAGTGCCGGCAGCATCGCGAGATGGCGATCCAAATCCGGAGCTGCTGTATGGCATGCGCTCTTCGGACAAAGTTGACGAGCAACGAGATTGGTTCCGAAGCGGTTCCTCATGGGCTGGTCTGCTGAATCACTCGCTGATATCACGCAGGAGCTCCTGCGATTGGGCGTCAGGCGAGGCCGAATCCTGATTTCGTCGCTCCGCATAGTGGAGAATGCGCATATAAAGATGTACTCGAATGTAACAAGACCAGCTGCCTTGTTTTCGAATGCTTAATCCGAGAGCAAAGAGCCGCGACAATGAAACGACTAGGAACCAAGCGATCACGATACCCGCATACGTTATCGGCTACCAGGTGACACCCTGACCCGAGAACGAACCCGGGATATACAAAGAGGAAACAGCAGATAGATCAAAACACAGTCGTGCTCCAGAGGAAGTTCCGATACGGTTGATACGGCTCAGAAGATGGCGCGTACGAGTCCGCTGCCGACCGCAAACCCGGCACCGCCTGCGGCCGAGTGAGCCATCTGCGAGTACAAATACACAAGGCTTGTTGAGTCTCTTGACCTGTACACAATACGGACGGACTGACCGTGTTCCCGAGTGCACCGTACTTGCTCTTCTTCTTGTCCTGGCCTGGCGCCTCCTGCAGCCCTACCGAGTTGGTCTGGGGAGTTCCGGCGCTGGGCGGGAGGTCCGAACCATGAAGCGCGGCCCCAAACGGCTTGTAAGGCGCCTTCTCCCTCGGCGCGCCAACCTGCCCGGATTCGTAAGGTGGCGCAGGTGGCGCGTGGAGTACGATGGGAGGCGCGGGTCCCGAGTAGGCGCGCACGGGCGGCAGGTTGCGGGCGGGAAGCGCAGACTCGGCGATCTTCACAACGTAGTTGGACGGGAAGAGGCCGGTCTTGCCGCGGTGCTTGCCCGTCCACCAGTCCTCGTTCGTCTCGGCGACGATTTCGATGATCTCCCCCGCGGAGAAGGACAGGTCTTTAGGTTCCTATTTACATGGTCAATCTATTGCGAGAGGTGGAAAGGATCGCTGTACTCACAGAACCGTCCTCGTTGTATCCCCAGGTTGCTTTCGCCTTTACGACGGTCGCCGTGGGCGTCTGCGGTACCGAGCGCGTAGACGTCGTAGACGCGATGGGGACCGACCCGCTGCTTGACGCCCTCGCAATAGCCCCATTTGTCTTCGGGAGCTTGGCGCGAATCGCCGACGCATCGATGGCAGTTATATAGTTCTGTTGCACAAGAAATTCGATATTCGACTCCATCTGCGCTACGACGTGCGCGAGGAGGGCTTGTTCCGCTGGTGTCGCAGCCATAACGTCGATTATCGAGTAGAACGCGCCCGGGAGAGTGAAGGTGAGTGTGAGGTGAGTGTTAGTGGTCAACAAAGGATATCCATCATGCTGCGACTTTCGAAGGGAGGGTGGCACAAGAATCACCAAGGCACCCGATGGGATTACGGACGAGCGCATATTATGCACAGCTTCAGTACACGTGGTGAGGAAGCGAGGATGGCGCTTCCCGTGGGCCTCTCCGGGCTTGAATCTCTCATGAGCCAGCAGCACAACTGGGATTTCACATTCACATACTGACAGAATGTTTGATTAAAGGCACAGCAGACTTTCGAAACCATTTCGTCAGTGTCCCATACGCCTAGTCATACATCTTAAATACGCCTTTTACAGCCAAATCTTCTCTCTAGTTTGAAACTTCAGCTTCATTAATGTCCATCTGCCGAAACCTCTCCAATGCGTCTTTAGATGCATACTGAGTGCCCGACAGAGTCCACTTCAACTTGATGTTGAAAGCCTTCTGCCTCTCCAGCGATAAGCGCTCACATTCCTCGACCAGCTCGAGGGAGGCGCGTTCTCCGGCGACTATTCGCATATGGATCTGACGCAGTCTTGGAAGAAGATTGGGGAGTAGGTGTGATGGCGAGAGCAGGAGCGGGAGGATCATTTCGCACGTATATACGTCTGTAATTCGAAGTTCAATGGCGTTTCCGCAGAGCTCGAGGAAGCGTTTGACGAGCGGGATGTGATCGAGTCTAGCATCCACCGAGACTGACACGAGCTCGTCGAGGCGAAGCTGGCGCATAAAGTCCAGCGAAGGTTCCCATTCATGTTGGATTGACAGGTTGAGGAGCGGATCATCACCGGGGATGTCGTAGAGCGTTGCATATGCGCGAAGCTGACGTGCGCTAGACCATCCACGGTAGAAAAGGCGCTGCACGATGGGGCCTTTACCGCTGCATGTGCAATGGTTCTCGAGAAACGCAGACAAAGTATTAAAATCCGAAGGCTGGACAGAGTCGGAAAGGACCAGTGATATTTTGGCCGTCGAGGGGACCTTGATATGCCGGAGCATGTCACATATACACGCGCCAGGGCCCGATAGCTCCAGGTTAATTAGTTGGCGTAATCTTGCGGGCTCTGTACGCGCTACCGATGGTATATTCAAGCGATCGCTTCGTCTTGCTGCCACGTCAATAACGAGACTGTGCAAGGAGGGCATTGATTCCAGCGCCGTGACCAGTTCTTGGCCAGAAGGACAACAAGCGAGAGGCAACTGGCGCAACTCCAGGCTTGTCAGTCCTCGGACGAGTGTGTCGTGGTGCAGCATCTGCCACTTGAAATATATACATTCGAGGCGGAGATGGCACATCTTGGGGGCATACAAGTCTAGGAAGCGATCCGGCAACGCGATCCGAACGTTGTAGAGTCCGGGAGCTGTGATATCGCACTTTTCCAGAAGTGGAGCGCGAGCTGTGAGTATTTCCTCGTTCTTCGTAATGTAGGGCTCGTGCTGCAAGATAAGGACCCGGATCCGCTCCACATGCTTCAGAGCGTCCAGACTACCCGTATGATCGATGTCCTCCCGCATTCCACGGGTTACCCTGAAGAAGAGCGGCGCATCTTTCGACCGTGTAAGGAACGTCCGAGTCAATTCGGGCGTAGCGCACGGCACAGTTGTCCAAAGGGCGGCGGCGCCTAGAGCGACTTGACGCCAGTGTCGGCACACTCGAGTGAAGACGTGGCTGGTAGGAAATGTGGGTTTCGACTCGGGATCTGGCAAACAATCGCGAAAGATCGACGCAAGGGTCTCTGCGGGGAGCCACGCGACAAGCGAAAGCTCATTTCGACGTTCACGAAGTTGGCGTGCTTGCTCCAAGAGGTGTTTGGCCTGATCCAGTAATGTCTCGATCTCGTTGTCGATCTGCCGCTGGGTCTCTTCCAGGTAGTGAACGCCCGCGCGAGCAGCACTAGAGTCAAGAGTTTGATCAAGTTGAAGTCAGGTATATAGTCACTCACACGAATGGCAACATCAGGACAAGATAAAGAAGCCACTCGCTCAGGGCTGACTGGCAGTTGAAGGACGATAGGTTCGCTCGATATCGCTTGGACTGAGTAGAGATAGCGAACAAACGCGCTGCTGTGTCTTCGCCACCACCGCGCCACGTGGTTGCGCCTGCTCGGCACATTGACACCGGGGCGACGGGGTGTCTACTGCCTTGACCCAGTCGAACCAAGTGCTCAATGCTCCTGCTCATAGTCCAGTACATAGAACGAAGCAAAACTAGCGAAACCCGTCTACGTGATTATTGATCCGATGCCCTTCATTTGCATGGACCTCTGATTTATTTTGTTGTAAATGCCTCGGCTTCGCCAGCACATGAAGGTCTCTTCATCATCCAAAGAATGGCAGTAAAGAAAAACCGCCCTGCCGCATACCATTCCCCACCCTCAGAGCGAGGTCCCCTCCAACCACCGATTTAACATCGCCAGCGTCTCCTTAGGCTTATCGTGCGGAGCCTTGACCGATGTCTCTTCAACCATTTCTCCTTCAATCAAGAAGACAACTCACCATGTGCCCAGCGCCCACGACAGTTGCGAACGTCAGCCCGCCGAACTCCCGTACCCGGCCCGCCTTGCCGCCCTCGACCTCCCAACTCCTGAACTTGGATTCTGCGAAGCCCGCCTGGCCCGTCCACTCCAGGTTGAGGGCCACGTTGAGGTTTCCGAGCCAGTTGCAGGTCACGTCGTACTCGCCGACATACATCAGTACCTGCTCACTTGCGGAGTCAGCATCGCTCATGATGCGATGAAGGACAAAGAGGAACGGGCCTTGATACCGCGTTCGAGCAACATTTGATGCGCGGTGCTGCTGCTTCGGCGGGGCAGGTTTCGGAGCCGGCCGACCGTCCTGAGTGCGGGGTCGGGTGCAGCGGGGTTGAACGCGGCGCGCTTCCCGTCGTGGTGGGTTAGCGGGGCTGATGGTCTACACGTTCGTCGGAAACTCTGCCGTTACATACCCGGGTAGGGAGGCGATATGTAGGTGTTTGCATGCCCCTCTGAGCAGACCTTCAGTACCTGGGCGCAAACGTTGTTGATGTGCCGGGGTGCGACGCCGAGTTGAAGCTTGAAGCTTTGAACGTCGACGTACGACAAGCAGAGAACGTGCAACGCATGCGCCCGTGATGTTCCGGAAGGCGGTGTCATGCTACGCGCGCGAGGAGCGGTGAGCCGACCCGCTTCCCGAGTCGCAGAGAGCGTTCGTCGATTGAAGATGTTCGCGGTGACGGAGGGAGAAAGGGAGGGCTTTAATATGATCAAGAAGGTACCGAAGGCGACATTCCATGAGGGATACGAGACGTGGCTGGTTACAGAGGCGAAGACGATCTTGAAGGAGTGCATGGGATCCCGGGCGTTGTTGGAGTTGGAGGAGGAGATGGTGTCGTCGGTCAAGAAGGTGCCGAAGGTCAAGAAAGGGCCGCCGGTCGAGGTGGTGCAAGAAAACAAAGGGTTCATGCGACCCTGACAGATTCGGTTGGCAGTCCATCGTCGGCGGGGTCAATGGGGGAGGTTCGTTGTGCTTTCACTGGCTGAGAAGATAGGCGATTCCTGTGTAGCAGAGACTATAAGATGCATTTCGAGATGTCATCTTCGAGTCTTTGTACGTCTGTGGAGAATGGATCGTGGTTGCCGCACACCACGCGCCTGCGAGAAGCATCAGAAGTCGGCGGATGAGACAGTAGCATACTTCACATTGGAATCGCGAGCCACGGGTGGCCTGAACAAGGGACATTAATAACTCACAAGCCGATTGCAGGGCGTCAATAGATCTGAGCCATTAAAAATTGCCGACTTCGTCCAAGAACCGATTCACCGGCACAGAGCAGATGAAGATGCATATGTGCGCTTGGAGGCATGTATACGAAACAGCCCTATATCTTGTGCATACGATAGAGACTCGGTGACGTGCAAATTTGCGCGTGTTATTGCTGCCGTTGAGGCTTGTAGAAGGACGATATCGCGAGCACTTTCAGAGCTGCTAGCGCCCTGCGGTCTTAGCACGATAGACAGCACAATTAAGCATGTTTATATAGCAAAGTTATGAGAACGATTGCGGCCGGCAGACAAGGAGAGGAATCAAGGGTCCTGGTTGGTTGGAGCCCGTGACTTGGAGGGCGACCTCGATACCGCAGACGCAGCCGCACGGCCCTTGTCCCACCGCCCGTTCCTGCCACAGCAGTCGCAGCCCGCCTCCGATCCCGTTCTCCCACTCTCATCTCGTCTAACTCCCGGCGCTGGTTCTCGTCTTGCTCTCGTCTTTCTCGCCTCTATCTCGCTCGACGACCATTATACCCATCTCACCACCACCACCATCACCACCACCACCGGCACTACTTTTCCTCGGCCTCTGAGCGCCTCTTTCGGGCGACGCCCCACGTTCACTCTACATCGCTTTTCCTTCTGCGCTTCCGCCAATGTCCTATGTCGAGACGTCGAGCTCGCCGGGGAGCATGTCCTCCCGGCGGGTCACCAACCGCAACACCAATCGCTACAGCGTCACGGCGCTCTTCAGCATGGCTGCCGAGCAGGACGTCGAAGTGGAGGACGAACTCGCGCGGGGTTCGTAACAACATCTTCTTCTCTCTGCTACCTGCTCCTCGTCTTACGCGCGATCACTCTTCGTGCAGCGCAAAAGCGACTGAGGGATCTGAAGGCCCGTATCTCTGCCCAGTCGAAGAAGAACTTCGTCCTCGAGCGCGATGTTCGCTATCTCGACTCGCGCATCGCCTTGTTGATCGCGAACAGAATGGCGCTGGATGAGGTCAGCACTCACCCCTCTACCGTCTCTAGCATCTCGCGACTGCGCCCGCTGACACACTCCCCCCCTCTATCCGTCGTAACACCCACTTCCAGCAAAATGAAGTCGAGAAACACTTCGAGGAAGTCGACCCTACGGAGGGCCACTACCCGGACGACCGCAAGATGCAGCAATACTCCAACCTCTTCTTCCTCCTCCAGTCCGAGCCGCGCCACATCGCCGCCCTCTGCCGGCTCGTGAGCCTGTCCGAGATCGACACCCTGCTCCAGACGGTCATGTTCACCCTGTATGGAAACCAGTACGAGAGCCGGGAGGAGCACCTGCTCCTCACCATGTTCCAGTCCGTGCTCTCCGCCCAGTTCGAGACCGCGACCGAGTTCGGGTCTTTGCTTCGTGCCAACACGCCCGTGTCCCGGATGATGACGACCTACACCCGCCGAGGACCGGGTCAGAGCTACCTCAAGAGCGTCCTCGCGGAGCGGATCAACAGCCTCATCGAACACAAGGACCTCAACCTCGAGATCAACCCCGTCAAGGCGAGTCGCAGTCGTCGTCGTCGTTTTCTTGCACCTCATCGCTCACGTGCTCTCTCGTACAGGTGTACGAGCAGATGATCAACCAGATCGAGGAAGAGACCGGCTCTTTGCCGCCGACGCTCCCGCGCGGCGTCCCGCCGGAAGTCGCCTCCGCCAACAGCGACGTGCAGGGCATCATCGCACCGCGCCTCACGGTGCTCATGGAGATCGCGAACAGCTTCCTCGCCACGATCATCGACACCATGGAGAGCGTGCCGTACGGTATCCGCTGGATCTGCAAGCAGATCCGGAGCTTGACGCGGGTGTGTAGCCGTTCATCCAAACGGGCTGTGGTCGCACGCTGACGAACGTGGCGTATTTGCAGAGGAAATACCCGGAGGCGACGGACCACGCGATATGCTCGTTGATCGGCGGCTTCTTCTTCCTCCGGTTCATCAATCCGGCGATCGTCACGCCCCAAGCATACATGCTGGTCGAAGGCGTACCCTCGAAACATCCCCGGCGAACACTGACCTTGGTATGTCCGGCTCTGGCATCCCTTTTGGTCACCGTTTGATCTCATATCCATCTGCCCCTCAGATCGCAAAGATGCTGCAGAACCTCGCCAACAAGCCGTCGTACGCGAAGGAGCAGTACATGATGGCCTTGCATCCGTTCGTCGACAACAACAAGGCGCGAATCAACCAGTTCCTGAACAACCTTTGCGAAGTCGGCGACTTCTATGAAACTCTCGAGGTGAATTCACTTTCGCCGCCGGATGGGGGTCTTTAGGGTTCTTGCTGATCACGTGCCGTCTCGTAGATGGACCAATACATGGCGCTCTCGAAGAAAGATTTGATGATCCACATTACGATGAACGAGCTGTACAACACACATTCATTGATTGTAGCCCATATTGACACACTCGTGCGTCCTCTCATTCCAATCGTATTCATCCGAGCTGCGGCTGACCTACACGTTCCGCAGTCCCCTAACGACAAGCAACACCTCCGCATCCTCGTCGACGAGCTCGGCCCGGCGCCCTCGCAGGTTCCGCGGAAGGAGAACCGGACGATCGAGCTGCAGCTGTACAGCCGGTGGGAGACGCCGATCCAGGACATCCAGAGCGCGCTCATGGACTCGGTCTCGTCGAGCGACATGCTCTACATGGAGACCAAATCCATCTTCGTGCAGCTCATCCGGTCCCTGCCCCAGGCCGCGGGCCGGCCGCCGTACAACCTGCCCGTGATCGCCGAGCGCGCGGCGACGACGAAGGACGCGACGCTCGTGAGGAAGGGGATCAAGGTGAAGGAGATGCTGCGCGAGCTCGAGGAGACCAAGGTCGTCGACCGCGCGGACGGGTACCGGCTCATGCAGGAGGAGGTCGCGGCCGAGCTCGTGCACCTGGGTAATCTGAGGGAGAAGGTCGTGGAGGAGACGCGGAGCCTCGAGGCGGTGTACAAGACGATCTGCGACCATAACAACTACCTCCGGTCCCAGCTCGAGCAGTACAAGGCGTACCTGCAGAACGTGAGGTTGAACGCGAACAAGGAGAAGGGCGGGAACGCGGGTGTGGGCGTCGTCGCCGTCGGCGGGAAGGAGAAGAAGCCGGCGAAGGTGGTCGTGCTGGGCCCGTACCGATTCACGCACGCGCAGCTAGAGAAGGAGGGTATCATCGTGGAGAGCAACGTTCCAGATAATCGGTGATTAGCGTTTAGGTTTTTGAACTTGAACTAGATGACTCACGGTTGATCACGTTGTAGGCGACCGAACATCTACTTCAATATCACGTCGCCGACACCAGGGACGTACATCATCGCCCTGCACTACAAGGGGCGGGAGAAGGCGATCTTGGAGATGGACCTGAAAATCGACGATCTCCTGGAGAAGGTTGGCATCGGCTCCCTTCCCTTGCCCAGCTTGACCTGACTTGTGCCCTTTCCTCCCACAGCAAAAAGACAACAAGCATCTCTTGGACCTCGAGTACGTCCAGCTCAACGTGCCGAAGGTGCTCCAGCTGCTGCAAAAGATCTTCGCCAAGCGATGATCTGGTCGCTCGTGCTTCCTCCGCTCCGTCTCCCGCTTCGTTGAGTTATTCTTCGGTCTATGTCCTCTTCGCTACCTTCGCACGCTATTTCATCCGAGGACACAACGTTGATGATAATACCTTTCCCTGTCGATACCTCTCTCACACTCGTTTCGTCTTGTCTTTCCGTCCTTCTATCTCGTTTCATCTTTCCCTCCGACGGATTCGTGGGGCTGTTCGATGGTAGTTGACTCGGGCGCGCTCATGGGCGGTTGGTAGATTATGAACTCCTTTCTCTCTTTCTCGCCCCGCGGTGTATATTTATGTATAGTCCTTTGTGCTCTATCAGGAGAGGAATGGTCATGTTGTTTTTCCGGTCTTCGCCCAAAATCAGGCGTTGAGCTAGTGTGGCTTAAATACTTATTCGAAGCCTATATCTGTAAATATGTTTCTTGCCAGTCACCGAAGCGCGAGAACCTAGCTTCTGGCTTCCAGTCGCAACTCCAGATTCAGCTGAATGGAACAAGGGGCAAGACCAGCGTAGCCGGAATACGCGTTGCATACAGGCATTGAGCCTACATCAGTACGCTCGACGTGCTTGATGTTATGAAAGAGAGCACATTGGTCTTGCATCTCTTGACATAAGCGAGCGCCAAAGTCTGGTATCATGACTATCCGTTTCATTACGCGACTAATTATCCAGAATATCTGCATCGGATCATCCATTGGAACACTACGTATGTCCCTAGAGGCTGAGGTCGACCGGGATGCAGCCGATGGAGATGAGGCTCTGCAACAAGGGTGACAGTCAGCGCCAGGGTGCTGTGCGGGAGGCGAAAGACTGCATACGCTGCTGTTGTCCTCGCAGCAGACGGGGTTGGCAGAGCAGCTATTGCCACCGGCGCCGATGACCGAGATAGGGCTGCAGGTGAGGCCGACGAGCACGTCCACATCGCTCAAGACGATGCCAAGCAGACCCAGAAGCGCACTGGCCGAAGGGTCGGTCGCCTGTGATGGAGCGGGCGTAATCAGAAATTTGCAAAAAGATTGGAAAGTACAGCGAACGGAAATCACCTTCTGGACGCTGTTGCAGCACTGGATGGAGCCGGTGTTGCACTGGCTGGCGGGCTGGGTCGTTGTGGGCTGGGGGGTCTGTCCAGGAGCTTGAGTGCTGGAGTCGTTATGGACGCTGCTGAAGCGAGGGGTACTCACGACCGTCACGGTCTTGGTCGGGGCAACATTACCGGGGGCGGCGGCCGCAAGGACGGTGAAGGTGGCGAGCGCGACGAAAACGGTCTGGATGCGGGCGAACATCGTTCGGTATCGAGGGCGGAGGATAAGATGAGAATAAGGGATGCTGAGCGTCTGTTGGACTGGAGAATGTGCTGGACGTGTTGCCCTGTTATATACCTGAGTCTTGACCGTGAGCGGCTGGCACATGAGGTATTTCCCCCGCCATCGCCTCGGACGATGAATGGGACAACCGGTAGAAGTTCCCCGGGATCATACACAGGCAGTTGTAATGAGGTGTCATGGAATATCCCCAGATTTGGCATGCATGTTCCGGCTGGTAAGGGTCGGGCTCAGTCGTAGCGGCGTGTGGTGGGTTCGCACTTCCTAGGAAGTTCCCAGCCAACGATCGTCGACAGCCTGACGTACGCCTGATGTCACTGGTGAGCGATGGTAGAGGGCACAGGGGCGATGTGTTGAGTGCTCATTCTCTCCGCTGTTCTTCGCAGCGTACTTCACGATGATGAAATGAAATGAGGCGCCGGGTCGCATGAGACCAACGGGAACGGGTGTCAGAGCCATGGTAGTTCCAATGTTATTTTTGATAGTACACCGGCTGGGAATCGCGGCCACGAAAGAGGTCATGCGACGAGGTCAATGCGAGGCGCCAGTAGTACAGCAGCTGCATCCACGGAGACAAAGACAGCCAAGTGCCTTTGAAACGCTGACATAGCCCACTCGTCATCCTCGGTGTTGCTAACCGCAGCGTCATGGGTAATGTAATAGAACCTCCCTGAAACAGAGAGCTCCGCACTGGCTGATCCGCTACCCCAGATCCCAAGAAGCTGGGCGAGAAGACCGCGTGCAAAGTTCCGAGACACGACTTCGCAAAGTGAAAAGCGCTGATGAGGCGGAAATAGAGGAGTTGATGACGGCTCACCGAGTTGAAGAAGACCATGGCGTACACGCGGATGCTGGTGGAAGTCCAAGAGAAGCAAGGGGTCGGTAGGTAAGTCGTGTTGTTCTTCGCCCGGTCATCATGCTTAAACAATCCGCTGACAGCTGTCGACCAGGATGAATCGGCCGAAGGAAAGACCGGAGACCTCGTATGCAAATTCGAGTAACATTTTCGAAATGCTTCGGGCGGAGGCTCACGAGTCACGAGTACGGAACTCTCGGTATGTTGAAACGAGTGGAGGAGCCTACAGTCTCAACGCTAGCCTGCGTGATCGATGATGCCGCCGTAATATAGCGTCGAGTCACAACAATCTTACCTCCTGAATTTTCGACAACCAGCAATCGAAGAGATAGCCTTTTGACTACGAGTTTCTTCCGAGATGTATTGTGGAGCAGTCTGCAAGGACTTTCAGACGTGGACCAGAGGAAGGGCTCAGTGCTTCGAATTGACAACGGCCATGGCTGGTAAACACCTGGTTGGGTCGCCGCAAGGGACACGGCCATTGCCGCCCGGCGCGTGCAATCAGAGACACTTCTTCGTATTCCGTATAGACATCGTCCAGTCTGGCAACTACAACTTCAGAGAAAGCGCAGGACATGTATTTGTTCGCTTTTCCAGTCTACAGTGAGAGCGGGGTAAGAAGAATGCTAAACGTGGGACCACGCTGTATGCCGTGGGAACCTCGTCGACTGACCTCCTTTTTCCATCCATCCCCCAAAAGCTCGTTCGCCCCCCCCCCCCCGATTACAGCCTTCCTAAGTATGGCGCATTACAACAAGGATCACACGATGGTAATGAAGTGAATTGACTGGAGTAACTTTAGGCGAGAGAACCTTCGACTGTATTGAGGCCCAATATCCTCATGACGAGGTTGAGCGCGCAGCGTTTGGAATTTGTTTGTTGTCCACCCTCATGAGTTATAGTCATGGCCGTAGTACCTTCCTATACGCCCGCATCCTGCGCAACTTGGCGTCAGTGAGTCCCCAATGCTGTTCGTTGTTCTTCACTGATAGTACACAAATATAGCATGGTCATAGCTCGGAGTTGCTAGCGCAGCTGCATGCATTCGACCTCATGAACGCTCATGGGTCTTATTCGCAGTCGGAACAATCTTTACTTTGCGCGTGGAGCAACAATGACCGCCTTGTCCCCGCTGGCAGTTACATCATCGAACCGCTGTGTGAGAGTATTGCTGCCCAGTGCCAGCTCTTCTAGCAGCAGTGCCACAATGGGCGGAAATGCATGTATGAGGTCTACTGTTTCTCCTTCCGACAGTGCCGTTATTCTGCTCTCATGAACACCAGGGCTCGCGCCAAATGAGGAGGAAAAGCCGGCCGCCGTGCCGTTCATACCGCGTCGAGTGGAGCACTCTATGTTCGACATTCAGTCATAGCGGCAAGTCGTCCACTATGATCCCCTGGAATAACCACACACATTTGTTGGCACAGAAAGCAGCTGATTCAGCCAACGTTGGTTACGGGGTCAGAAACAACGGGGAAACGCTGCAGTCTGTTCAGTTTCGCGCAGCATATATCCACCTTCCTCCTTGCGACGCTCCCGCGGCGCACATTTTTGTCTTTCACCGCTACGAAAACATCAGTACGTGCAGAAGTGATGGTACTATTTTCTGGGGGAGGCTGCCGTCTGTGATTGTCCAGCAGTTCTCCCCGAGAGGGAACATCAACTCCCACTAACTTCGTGCTCTTCCATGGCGCATGGCATCGGTCTCTCGTTTCAGCGACACATGGAGTGACGCATCCGACATAAAGAGCCAGAAAATTACGGCCTTCTTGTATTTTTACTGGGTACAAAACGGCAACAGTTTGTCGCAGTTCCACAACAAGTCGCAACAATCACTGGTGAAAGCACTCTGGCAGCCACCTCGTCAGCACTACCAACACAGCTACCATGTTCAAACTCTCCTCCGCTGTCCTCATCGCGACTTCATCGTTTGCGGTCCTTGCCACGGCCTCCCCGGCACAGATTGCCGCTCGTCAAAGCTGCAACACTGGCTCCCTTCAGTGCTGCGACAGCACCACCACATCCAACGACCCTTTAACTTCCTCGCTTCTCGGCTTGCTCGGCATCAATGTTTCCGGTTCGTAGCATCCATTCTGTTTTACGACCGATGCTCACAATGCTTGGCTGCATACTAGGTGTCGACGTGCCGATCGGTGTCAGCTGCTCACCTATCAGCGTCGCTGGGATTGGTGGAAACAGCTGCAGCGCTAGCCCCGTCTGCTGCCAGAGCACTGAAGATGGTGAGCTCGCTATGCTTCGCCCCGCGATTCCTTAGTGAACACTTGATACTCTCGTAGCAGAGGGTTTACTCTCCGGCCTGGTCGGGATCGGCTGTGTTCCCGTTGATGCATCTCTGTGATCCATGGAATTAATTAAACTGCTTGCGCCGTTTCTGCCATGTTAACTTTGACAAAATCGATGTATAGATGTGAACAATAGCGAACTGAATTTTATTCGTCGTTACCCGTGTATTATGGTCGGAAGGCTGTGACAGTATGCAGCACTATGAGAGCTCGGATCGATGAATATCTTCATTTGGTATACACGTCAGACACTGCAATGTGATGCTACTCAAATTGAGGACAGATGATATACTCATTTCATAAATAAATAACAAGTTTCTTCATCACGGGGTAGCCGTTTAAATCATCCACGGGGGCTCATACACCGAAACCGTAGAAATGTGTAGAACCATCGTCGCATGGAGTTCATCAGAGGCTCAGGTTAATCGGGACGCAACCGATGGAAAGGAGACTCTGCAGCAGAGTAATGGTTAGTGTTAGGCGCCACGCAGATTGTAAACAAAACTGCATACATTGCTGTTGTCCTCGCAGCAGACGGGGTTGTCGGAGCAACTGTCGCCGTCAATCCCGATAATTGAAAGTGGGCTGCAGCTGAGACCAACTCGCAAGTCCAGGTTGCCTTAGCTAGGACAATGCCCAGCAGACCCAGGAGCGAAGTAGACGCCTACGTCCAGAGGCCCTCGTCAGAATCTTCCTTTCTGCGGGATTGACCAAGTGAAAGGATTCACATCCTGGACCCTGTTGCAGCATTTGATGGAATTTGTGTTGCACTGGCTGGCGGGCTGCGTTGTCGTCGGTTGCGGCGTCTGCGGTGAATGTGTTTAGACACCATGAATGAAGCACTCATCAATCGCCGGTCTACGTACAATCATCACAGTCTTCGTAGGATGGGCGACGTTTCCGGGGGCGGCGGCAGCAAGGAAAATTGATGTGGCGAACGCAACGAACATCTTTCGGACCCGAGTAAACATTGTAAGTCGTCAGATACAAAAGAGCTGAGAGGCTCGGTGATGAAAATCTGCTGGTGTGGTGCTGAAAGTCTGCTTGACTGGAGGTATTACTGGACAAATCGTGCACCTTATATACCTCATGTCCGTTTCAGAATATAAACAAGCCGCCATTATCCCGGACGACAGGCGACTGAATCGGTGTAATATGGGCGTGCTGATGCGTGAAAGACGGGCGACTAGGTTCTGAATTTGCTATCATCGACAGTTTGACGTACGCCTGATGTCACCAGCAGTGGGCGTAGTGGAGAGCCTGGACGTGTCGGTACGCGCGCGTTCTCTACCCCGTTCTCCGCCCCGCTGGCGAGACCAATCCGGTGCGGGGTCGCAAAGCCTGCGTTTGAGATTCGGTTCAGCGTCCGATTGGTAATTATGTTAAACCTTCACGAGCAGAAGTAATGGAAGATGTCCATGCGGCTGCTAAGCAGGCTATAGAGCGAGCCAACCGAGCGTCGACGAAACTTGGTGGAGAGCGTTGATGAGACGGAAATAGATGCATCTGTAAAATAATGCATGCGAACACGCTGATGGAGAGCAGAGGGATATACGCGGTTGTTATTGCTATCCACCCGGGCGCCGGGTCCATTCAATATGCTGTCAAAATTTCACACCACAGTGTTGAATGTTGATTCGAGGAACATTCTCAATCCACAGGATGCTCGCTTGCCCGACATATTGAAGCCTGGGTGCGGCGGGTTTTGTGTAGTAGAGTCGCAGGGCTTGAGCAACGCCGCATCGACTGCGGTTTCATCCCCATGATCATGCTGACGCATGGCAGAAAACGGGCGTACCTTCTTGCGACGACAAGTTCCGGGTCGCCGGCGATGAAGTCGTGTTTAAGGATGGTGCCTTGAGTAGTGGATGCTTGACTTGAATGACACAGCGTGCCACCGGAGCAATGTCGACGTCGAGGCACAGGGGCAAGCAGACACAAGCCATTGGTTATAGCATCGGAGGACCCAGAAATCCTGCCAGTGGTGCTTCAGAATCGACCACGACGACCGGTGATGCAGTGCGCTAGACATGTCTGCCATCAGTGTCTCGGACCAGGACGTCGGACTAATCTCAAGGTTCGAACTGATGTCATGGCGTGAGATCCTGAAGTATAGATGGCCTGGCTCTCCCATGTCGTCCAGGCTCAGTGTGGAAGAATTTGGCGAGTGAAAGCAATATGCACTGTTCCGGCCAGAAGACTTCATAGAATGATTCTGACGCTACGATTGCTGCTAGTGTCCGGTCGCGGTTTGTTGTCGAAAACGTCTCGACTGCTACAACTTGAAGTACAGTATCAGATTCGAGTGTCGGACTCGTCGCGCTGGTTCTGTATCCCACGAATCCTCATAAGTCAGCCAGCCTTCAAAGTTCAAGGATGATCGGAATACAGCCGATGGAGATGAGTCCGCCCTGCGAGCAGATCATTCAGACTTCAAAGCCATCGAACAATATTAGGATTACTCACGAAGCTATTGTTCTCGCAGCAGACGGGGCTCGCAGAGCAGCTGTTACCGCCAATGCCGATGAGAGACAGCGGGCTGCATGTGATGCCAACGAGGACGTCCAACTCGGTCAGAACGATGTTGAGCAGACCAAAGAGCCCGGTAGCATCGGGACTCGTAGCCTAAAGTCAACAGCATGTCTTCAAATCACGTCCTCTTGTACAATGCGGGAAAGCAGTCCTGACCTGCTGAACACTGTCGCAGCACTGGATCGAGCCAGTGTTGCACTGGCTAGCGGGTTGAGTCGCCGTCGGCTGGGCGGTCTAAGTACGACCGTCAACTACATGTCAAGGAGGTCTGAACCAAGGCACGTACAACAGTAACAGTCTTGGTTACGGGTGGCGGGCTGACACCTCCAGGCGCGGCAACCGCAAGGAATGTAAGTGCAAGGAATGCGACAATGACGGCTTGAATGCGAGAGAGCATATTGTGACTACGGGAGTGGCACTGCTGCGAATCTGAGTCGTCTGCTAGACTGGAGGGTTAGGCTGGCCTGAGGTCGATTTTATACGTATTCGCTCACCGCTGAGAAGAAACCATCTCTCACATGCGTACAGGTACGTCGCACAGCTGCTGAGAGAGAGAGAGTCGAATGCCCGTAGTTGAGTAGTCTGTAGAATATCCGCGGACTTGACCCTGACGGCCCGATCGGGCGAGCAAGAAAGACCTTCGAGACATCCACGAACACGGAAGAGGGCCGCATTTGTCCGACCTCACGTACATACACTTCATACACCGTGCTTCAGTGAATGATGATGACTAGTAAAACAATTTAGCTGGATGAGGAATCACGGATGGATTTGGATACGCACCTCCGTCAGTTCTCTATGATATCCATGTAGGTATGCACATTCCTTGTGATACAACAATCACGCGGTACCTGCACCTCGTCCACCACCAGACAGATAGATCTTCGGGGTAGAATCAGCGACCTGTGAGGCTCTTCGGATGCCGGCGCAGATAATGTACCGAGGACCATATCATAAAGTCGTCGGTTGTTTATTTCGACCACACCAGTCGCCCGAGAAGCAATGGCACAAGTTCATTGGACGAATCCAAACTCGACAGGGCATGGAAATTCGGGGTGTTATCGCGGGATCGCTGGGCGAAAATGGCAATGGTGGTAGAATCCGTCGTGGTGTTTAGGTGAGTGGAGAAAAACAAGACGTGCCTGATTTACTCGCACGCTGCGATCAGTTATCCTGCAGGCGCTCCCAAGAGCCGCATGCACTGCGAGAGTCTGTCGAGTCACAGCGGCCCGGGGATAGACGAGCATAACAATTCTCCGATGTAGATCATCGCATTGACGTTGCCGAATCACCTGGGCCGTACATGAAGAGCAGCCAAGAACAGAAGACACTCGGGCATAAACAGCTTCGAGGATGCCCCCAGGTTTGGACACCTCGTGCACTTGGTCAAACACCCCCTTCAGCAATCCTTTCAGAGGATTTGGATTATGAATAGCTATTTGACTGATATCGGAGAAAGCGTTATGAAGCACTCACCTTTTTGAAGAACATACGCTCCGGATAATCATGTGCCAAACGTCCAAGAAGGTCATACATCTGCCTTCGAGTTCAGAACGGCCGGAAAGTGGTTTGACATGCCCGCGTTACGTTACCGCAGGAGACACAGGAAAGTGCGAGAGTCGCCGCGACCTCGCTAGCAAATTGTCGCCACGGGTGCGGTGTACATTGGAGTTGCACCTACTACGGCGCGAACAATGGCATTGTGCAGCCCTTCATCCCTTCAAGCCGATTCCATGACACTGATTCCATCGACAAGGACAGACACCGCTCATGATGGATTCATCAGCATCGAGTTCAGACGATAGGAAGACGCGTAGAGTGTACGACGGCAACCGTAATGAGTATGATGCCAGGGTATAATCGTGGTTGATTGACTGAAGAAAGCGAGTCAGACGGGATGACGGTCTGACTTTGGAGCCGTGGGAACTACCTCCGTTCAAACTCGAATTCAGTTTCGCGAGCGACCTGTCATCGATGTCATCACCAGTTGGGGTAGTACTGGTCGCATTCTCCTGGTATGATACAGCCGGTACGAGTGACAGCGCTTGTTCCTACCCAAATTGATGACGTCCACATTTCCCGTTCAGTTACCTCGATGATCACGACAGCCGCGGCTTACCGGTTTCCCTACCTTTGATTTCTGAACTCTTCTGAACATCCCCTCACGGAGCGCAGGCTGAGCGCCTCGCATTTGGGGCTCGTTTTTCGGAGTACCACAGTAATTCTCCTCAGAAGCGGCTGCCGAAACGGTCTGCCGCACGACGTCAGTGAACATCTCGAAGGCGCTCGGATCTCATGTTCCCTCCATGCACACGCTCTTCGACGGCTCGGCACTCGACATCATCTCTGTATGTCGGCTTCAGAGGCAGGCTTCTGTAACCATGCGCCCATCATACGCTTCATTTCCGAGAAAATCCTCGTGTGGGTGGAGCGAGAATGTCCGCTTTGGTTCCGTTGGTGGTTGCGTCGTATGTCGTGGGACTGCGATCGTTCTATGCGCTACCGGATGGTCGGGCTTCATCCGACGGTGACTCAATACCACCGAGGGTTGGGTCCCCTGGCTGACGGTCAGGATGATGGCATCCATACTGAAGCAATTGGGTGGGACACTCGTGGGGTTAACGGCGACAGAGAGATCAATCTGCGGTCTGCAGCGTCACGCACTTCGCTGGGCAGCACGAAGTAGGGCTCGTCTTTTTCTACATATGACCAAGCATCGGCTGAACAACCATGCTTTAATCGTACAATGAGGGCATAACTGTTTTCGGCACAACACGGATACGGGTGGAGGAAGCATTCTCGTTCGCGCTCTTATTCTGGCCTTCCATCCAATGCTGCGGCAGCACCACCACGTCGAACGAGCCATACATCACCAACATCCTGGGCCTGCTGGGCATCGTCGTTTCCGGTGTGTGCCTTCCTGTATCTCTCAAGCCTCGTTCAAATGCTCACAGTCTCTCAAGGCGTCGATGTGCCAATTGGCGTTGACTTCTCTCCCATCAGCGTCATCGGCGTCGGTGGTAACAGCTGCAGCGCCGACCCTGTGTGCTGCCAGAGCACCGACGACGGTTAGGGTTCTCGCTGTTAGCTTTACTCTGCTTCTTGCTCATAATCTCGTACTATGTCAGCCCAGGGGTTCCTGATCGGCATTGGATGCGTTCCGGTTGACGTCTCTCTGTGAATTGGGTCAGTAGAGATGTAGCCTCTCCACTGTCGCATGCACGTACTAGTACGATACGATATGACCGAGAATAACTTCCAGATAACCAAGTTACGTGAACTGGTTAGGCGAAAGAACGCGTTTAAGCACCGCATATCAGGCATCGCCACGATAATCGCACGTTGGTGCCTTCCTCCTCCGTACATCCTTCCGCTTTCGTCCCTGGATTGGCGCAGACCAGAGTCCACGATGGCCAACCCTGCGCTTCAACCATACATATCGTACATCGTCGCACAAATCAGGTCAAACGTCGACTTTCTCGAACAGCAGAACTGCATCTCGCCAGCGGACGCCTCCGCTATCCGCGCCAAGCTTCCCGACCATGACTCCCCCGCCTCCTCGAGCGAGAGCATTAGCGACGTGATCAACAACCTGAACAGCGTCAACGTAACGCCTGCATGGTCGCCAACTCAGGCAAACCAGAGGTCGCCGGGCACGCAGTCTGCGCCGCCGCCGCCAAAACCGACTGTCAAAGCCCGGGCGCTCTGGGGCTACAACGAAGACGGTACCGTCAGTAAAATGACACCACCCCCGCTTTCGTGTATGTGATCTGACAATCGACATTCGGCACCCAGATATTGAAGGACCTCTCCTTCCGCACCGGGGACATAATCGAAGTCACGAACGAGAACAACTCGGACTGGTGGACGGGCACCTTCCGCGGACGTTCCGGCCTGTTCCCAGCGAACTACGTCGAGAAACTATCCGCGCGCACTCCGTCTCCGACACCTACCTCCATCTCTACCGATACTGGAACTTCGTCGCCAGCTGCGACGGCCTACTCTGCGGCTTCCTCGCCGTACGGAGCGCCTCCGCCGCACACCTACTTCGTGCACCACGTGCCGCCTTACAGTCAGCAACAGCAGATGGTGCCCGCCGCTGAGAAACCGGTGTACCGGCCCTACGGCGGCGGCTATCCAAGTCAAGAAATGTCTCCTCCGGCTCCTCCTGTGCAACAGCAGGTTAGTCCCCAGGAGGCCCCGGCACCAGACAAGAAGAAGCACAAATTCGGCGCGCTCGGCAACACGGTAGGTTCACCTTCCGCATGCCTCTTTCGTTTACTGATTGTTCGATCGGCAGATGGCACAATCGGCAGCTGGTGGTGTCGGGTTCGGTGCTGGCGCCGCCATCGGCAGCGGCATAATCAACTCGATCTTCTGAGTTTAAAGCAGTCGCGTATAGTTCTCTGCATCTTCCATCGCGTTTTAGATCGGACGCCTTCGACCTCTTGTCTCGCATATACATCACACACCTACCTAATGGAGCTCTCGCGATCTCTCACCCCTGCTAGTCTCATTCTTCTCGCATATTCATCTTGTACTCTAGAACTCATCTGCTTCATACACATAACTTGCTATCGTATACATCGTTGCAGACATAACATGCGAATGCGAGCCGTCACGGCATTCTACTTCGAACCTCCGAATCCGGCGAAAGAGAAAGGGAGCTTCGGTCCCGGGCTCACATTCGGGGCACCGTTCGTTGCCGGCGTAGGGCTTGCGCTCGGAGACTGGCTCGCAGCCCTGAACTCGGCTACGAGTGACGTCCTCGGCGGCGGCGCCGTAGGCAGCGGGCCCCAATCAAACGTGGGCTTCGGCGGCGTCTGGGCAGAAGGAGTGGGAGCTTTGCGCAGCTGCACGGGTTTCTGGTGGTGTTTGGACGCGGAGCTACGCTGACGCAACGAGCCGCCGGAGGACGGGCTGTCGTCGGTTGCAGGTATATCGAAGGCGGGGAGGGACCAGTCGGGCGTCGCAGGAGCCGCGGAGCTCGATCCCGCGCCGTTTGGAGTGAGGGAGAAGAGGCCAACGGGGGTCGACGTGGCGGCTCTAGGCCCTGGGGTGCTCGGAGCAAGGGAGGGTTTTGCGGGAGAGTCAAACGCGGTGGGTACGGCGACTGAGGGAACGTGCACGGCGGTAGAGTTCAGGAGCGGCTCGCGCCTTGCCTTCAGGAGGGCGCTCTTGAGCTTCTGGGCAGAGCGTTCCGCATTCAGCGCAGCGGCTGTGGTAGCCGCCACGTCGGGCGTCACACTGAACGCTCGTTGAGGCGTGTCGGAAGGACGCTTGTCACGCCCGGTGAATCTGGCTTCAGAACGCCACGTCTTTCCGCCCAGGTCAAGCTTGGCCACGCGTGACGAGAGACGGGTGACGTCCGCGGCTTGCTGCTCAATGGCAGCTTCGATATTGCGATACGTGCGATTGATCGTGTCCAACGAAGGCGGCCGGAAATGAGGTTTGCCCGTTTTCATTTCGTTCAGCTTCTTCTTGCACTCAAGCAAGTGGTCCTCGAGTTTTTGCAAACGATCCCGCATGGTCTAGACATGGCAGGACGGCCCGTGAGCCGTTTGAACGGAGAATCTGGTATTTCGTAACGTACCCGAATATCCCGTCTCAGGCGACTTTGTGTTTCCAGGTGCTCTGGGCCCAGAGTGCGGATTTTGAGCATCCTGGCGAATTCTGCATCGGTACTCGCTCTACTGAACCGAGCAATCTCCTCCTTCTTCGTGTTCACTAGAACGGACATGTTGCAGGGAGGTAGGACACATTGACATCTCGAAATGCGTACCTTTCAGCATATCACTTTCCAATCGGCGGATATCGTCTTCGATTGCAAGTCGGCGCTCTTTGATATCCTTGATGTCAGTTCGCACGCGGCGCATAGTTTGTCCGAACAATGACAGATCGCCGAGACTCCACTTCGCCGCTGTTGCGAGGTCGGCAACATTCCTCGAACCGCCCACTGGCTTTTGCAGCTCGCTCTTTCTCTGCAATGTCGATTTAGCCAGCACACGTAGCTATTTCCAAGGGTCAAGACACAAGACGTTCGAAAAAGCTTATAAAACGTACGTCTTCGAGCTCCTTCGTCAAAGTCAGGTAAAGATACGCGCACTCCGCCTGCATACCCTCTTCCACCGAAGGTGGTTTCGCCTCTTGTATCGTGGAAACAGGGGCAACGAACGGTGTAGGAACGCTCAGAGATGGCGTTGGCGCGCCACTGAAAAAGCCTCCGATGGGCGGCGTAGCCACCGTCGTTGGCTTCAAATTGGGAATGTTGAACGGCGCTGAGGCTTGAGAGGGCGTAGGAGCAAACGCGGATATCGCAGGGCTGATGGGTTTTGAGAATGGGCTCTGCACTGCGGGTGGTGTTGTGGCAGGGAATCCAGAGAATGCAGGCAGTTTAAGGCCACTGGCAGGCGGTGTAGGCTGAGGGATAGTTGGACTTGTCTTGGTGGGATCTGTGGAGGGGCTGGGGAATGACAGAGGAGAGCTGAATATTGACGGCTTCGAAGCAGCTGACGAGGTCTTCGACGCAGAAGCAGGCAGGGTAGGCATAGCAAAGCCTCCGGCGGCTGGTTTAGGCGACGGTGATTTCGGGGTGACAGGTTGTCCTCCAAGCGAACCGAAAAGCGGAATCTTCGGCGGTGAAGTGCTCGCAGCAGGAGTGACCGGCCCTCCCGGTAGAACACCAAAGGGTGTTTTCGGAGATGCTGGTTTTGGCATGGAGGATGGCGAGGTGAACTCAGGAGATTGCTCGTCTTCCTTAGTTGCGTTAACCACAGGCGCGTTGGCCAGCGGGGAGCTGCGTGCTGGACGCGTCGTGGGCTTTCCAAGGCCAAGAGTAGGACTCTTGGAAGTTGAATCAGGAGTAGCAATCATGGGGTTGATAGGCGTCGGCGCTGCGATGCTCGGCTTCGAGGCAACTTCTCCTTGCTTTTCGGGGGAACCTGGTGGTGTAGTTGTAGACTCGGTCGCCGAAGATGCTGGCGCGCCTTTGGGGGCGTCGGGCGTAGCAAGAGGTGCAGCAGGTTTAGGAGTAGGTGACCTTGATTTTTCCTTTTCAGGGGTAGCCGGAGCGGGCTCCTGTTCCGTGCCTTTGCTCTCTGCCGCAGGCGTGACGGTGGTACTTGTTTCCGGCTCTTTCTCGCTTTCGTCTCCGTTTGGAGGTGACTCGCTCCCAGATCCATCGTCGTCATGTTCGCTCGGCACGTACTCAGAGCCTTCCTCGTCGCTGAAGTCTTCTGACACGAATGATCCAGTGTCATCCTCCACGGTAGGTTCGCCTGCATCACTGCCTTCGGCATCTTCTTGCTCGGGGCGAGAAACCTCGCTAAATGCAGAAATCTGCGAGTCGGCGAGAGACACGTCTGCGAAGGACGACTGTGCAGACAAAGACGAGTCCGGTCTTGCATCTTTCTCCTTCGTAGGAGACGCAGCCGGTTCCTTACCCTTCCCAGTAAAGTCCTTGCCCTTCTCTGCCGATTCCTTGTTCTTGTCTGTGGGCGCTTTGGTCGGGGTTTCCAAATCCCCCGCCTTTTGACCTTCCTCAGGCTTCTTGGAGGGTTCCCCTTTCGGAGTCGTCGAGGCGACGCTGGCAAATGCTGACGCAGGTTTCTTCGGGGACTCGTCCTTCGCGCCCTCTTTCAACATATCCGAGAATGACTTGCCTGACCCGCTGCCCACCTTCGCAAAGGCGCTCGTACCGCTGAACGCGGCAAACCCACCCGTAGCCGGGGGATCAGTCTTCGGTGTGGTCGTCGTGGGCGTGCCAGGCGAGGCAAACGCGGATTTGCCGAACGCAGACGTCGGCCCGTACACCGGCGTCGTGCTGGGATTAGATCCGGTGGGCTTTCCGAACGCAGACGGCGTGCCGAACGTCGGCGTCGTGCTCGCGCCCTGGGCTGGCGGCGTGCTCGGCGAGAACGCGGATATCGGCTTGAACGCGGACGGCGTGGTCGGCTTGGGCGGACTGAAGAAGGGAGAATCTTTATTGACCGCGTTTCCAAAGGCCCCGAAGCCCTCTGATGGCCTCCCGAACCCGAATCCTGGAGATGTGACCAAGTTTCCGAACGCGCCACCAGTTGTCGCCGGCGCGCTGCTCTTGAATGGCGAGGACAGCGGGGTAGCGGTGTCCGCAGGTGGGGCGGTAGGTGAACCGGGGGAGTCCTCTAGCCCCGGCACGGGGTTCGGTCGCGCCTTCACTGGCGTCTCGGTGGTGGGAGTTTCGGGAGACTTGGGTGCAAATACCGACGTAGGCTGACTGGGCGCAGCAGATGACGGCTTCGCGTCGTTACCACCACCGAACGCAGATTGTGGCTTTTCAGGCTCTGGCGGGGGAGATGCAAGGGGCTTGGCTTCGGTATTCTGGGTGGGTGTCGAAGAGAACATCGACTTCGCCTCCTGGCTGGGCCCTGTGGAAAACGCGGACGTGCCTCCAGATGCAAATGCCGACTTCGGCTGTTCCTGAGTATTGGCGGCAGCGGAAAACGCGGACGGCCCTCCCGAGGCAAACGCTGAAAAGCCCGTCTGCGCAGGCTTGGCACCCTCGCCCGCGCCACCAGTGTTAGAGGAGGCAGCAGCGGACGTGAACGAAGAGGGCGCGTTTGACGCGAATGCCGAAAACCCTCCACCCGTCGGCGCCGCCGCGGCAGGCTTGTTCTGCGCGGCGGCTGCAGAGAACGCGGACGTACCGCCGGATGCAAAGGCCGAAAATCCTCCTGTGCTGGGAGACGGACTGAAGGCAGACCCGTTCGCGGAAGGAGTCGAACCAAATGCAGACTTGCCGAATGCCGACTGCCCAAACGCACTCTGACCGAAGCCGCTCTGACCGAAACCGCTGCTCCCGAAGCTGGGGGACGATTTCGACGTATCGAAGGCGGACTGGCCGCCTGCGCCGGATCCACCTCCAAACGCAGACGTTGAGCCGAAGGCGCTGGGCTGCGAGGGGTTCTGGCCCGGGTTCGAGAAAGCACTACTTCCGCTTCCGCCGAAAGCACCAAATCCGGATGCTGGTTTAATCGCGGATGCCCCAAACGCGCTCGTCGGTTGCTGCGTCTCCGCCGAGGGTTGTGCGTTACCGAACAGACCCGTCGTCCCTGTGGTCCCACTCGGCTTGTCCCCACCGCTCCCTCCGCCAAGAGACAGTCCACCAAAGTCATCAGTGCTCATGGACGCCTCCGGCGCTATGGGCGTCGCGGGTGCCGCCGTGGCAGTCGATTGGGTCTGGGACCCAAAACCAGTCGCCCCGAACTTGGCCGCCCCGCCCTGGGCAAAGGCGCCGAATCCGCCCCCGCCGCCGGAGTTACCGCCGAACGCCGACTGACCAAAGGCGCTCCCCGACGTGCTGGGTTGGCCAAAGGCACTACCAGTCGAGTGAGTTGAACCGAAAGCGCCGCCGAGAGCGTTCGCCGAGCCGAAGGCGCTTCCTGCAGCATTGTTCGTCGACCCGAAGGCGCTCCCGGATGTGTTACTCCCCGAGCCGAAGGCGCTCCCAGATGCGTTGTTGGACGAACCGAACGCGCTGCCGGTGTTGTTCGCGGTACCGAACGCGCTCCCCGGTGCATTGTTCGTCGCGCCGAATGCAGACTGCCCAAACGCCGACCCACCGCCGGGCTGCGCAAAAGCCGCGAACCCGCCTCCCGTCGTTCCCGATCCAGATCCCGACGCCCCTCCGCCTCCACCAAACGCAGACTGGCCAAAGGCGCTTCCTCCGGCATTGTTCGTCGCCGACGAGCCGAATCCCGACTGTCCGAACGCCGACTGTCCGAACGCCGACTGCTGCTGCTGCTGCTGGCCGAAGCCCGACGATCCGAACGCCGACGACGTTGCGGGCTGGTTTGACGATTGTTGAGAGGCTACTGCGCTAGGCTGACGCGAGATGGGGAAGGCGGAGGGCGGTCCCATGGAGACTTCGGGGCCCTTCATCGGCTCCGGGAACGAGGATCCCGCGCCGGCGGAGAGCATACCCGGGTATGCCTTCCCGCTCGTGTTCACGACGTGCCACCCCAGGACAGTACCGTCGTTTGCGTACGCGTAGAGGATCGGGGTTGGTGGGAGGTCGGTCGACGCGCCATCGACGCCGACGTGCGAGTAGGGCTCGGTGCAGGAGAAGTCGAGCTCGAGGCCAGCGACGATCGTGTCCTTCATTTCCCAATCGAGCGGCATCGTCGGCTTCGCGGTGTCCTCCAGGCTGAGGTTGTACCACTCATCGTTGTCGAGGCAGGCGATGGAGCCAATGTCGGACGAGGTGCTGTCCCCGACGATGAGCAGGAACTTGGCAGGCTCCCAGTTGCGGAGCACGAGCACAAAGGCGCCCGGAGGACGTGGGCCAAGCGGGAAGTAGGGCGTCTCGAGCTTGACGTCGGCGGCGGTGCTGGACTTGGCGTCGAGTGCGACGATGTAGTGGGTTTGCTCGGAGTCGGAAGTGAGTGGGCTGCCGGAGGGAGCGTAGATGGTGTGCAGCATCGGATTGGAGAGCCAGGAAGCGGAGATGACGCCCTTGCCGGCGGCGGAGGGTGGGGCCGGGATGGTGGACTTGGGCGCGGAGGGTGCGGTGGGAGCGAAGGTAACGATAGACCCTGACTGGAGGCCGATGGCAATCTGTTTGCCTTTGGGCGACCAAGTGACTGCGAGCGTTGTCAGCTTTGAAAATTATGCACGGAGAAAGAGCCGCTTACGGGTTGTGGGAGTGGTCTCGGGTGTGCCTCCGCCCTTCCAACCCGCGACAGGCTCGAGCTTCTGCACGTCGATCACCTCGGCGTCCGTCTCGTGCAGCACAGCTATCAATTCTGGTATGTCGCCAGGGTTAGGCACAATCTGGCGAGGACCGCCTGGTGCAGGCGATGGGAAGGAGCGGAGCGGTTGGACATCTCCGGAGCCGGCTGTGAGCAGGACACTTGCATCAAAGACGTGAACTTGGCCTTGCGTGGTTGAAACGACAAATCGAGAGTCATGGAGGGCGAAGACGAGGGTGGTAGGGGTGCCTAGGGAGAACGGGAGGGTACGGGAGGGTTGGATGGAGGTTTCCTCGTCCTTGCTGGTGGATAGAGTAGAGTACAACTGGGACACCGGCGAGAATACAATTTCTATCATCGCTGATTAGTACGTGTTGCATCTAAACAATAAGAGAACGCACGAAACGCGCTCGATTGGCGAACTACGGCAGCGAACCAGCTCTTTGAGGTGGCGATGGCGAATAGTTGAGCCTTGCCAGGTAATACGTTGAGATCGAGCAACTCTCGCGATAGCCGTATCCTAGTACGTTTGTTGACAAGCTTATATGCGAGAAACTACACGAGTTGGACATGAGCAACTCCGGCACGTTCAAGGGATGCAAACGAAAGACGTACGCCTGCATCCTTCTCGGACGCCTCCTTCGATATTCTCGCCACTTGAGGCTGCGGCACCGGCTGAATCTGCCATATACTCATCGTACTCAATGTCTCCTCGTCGCCGAAGACGTCGTCGGACGGCTCGTCACGGTCGTCGCGCGGAAGAAGAGGTGACGGTTCAGAATATGAGTCCCCCCGCACGTGTTCGCGTGGTCGGCCATCGTCTTCTTCTCTGGCTTCTGATCATGACCCGTTCTGCTGTTCCGCTGTACCCTCCCTAGAGTAATACATGTCGCCCTAATTTTCCTCCTCCGTCCTTGACCGTCTGCACTACTCGCTGTGCCCAACAGCGAGCGCGATGACCCCAGCGCCACTTGTCCTGCAGACCGACCTTGAACGCGACACCCATGGCCCGTTACCCGCGTTCAGCATGTCCCCGAATACTGCGACGAGCTCTGACACGTCCTCTCCGGTGGCACACGACCCTCGTCATAAAGCCGGTACGTAGATACTTTCTGGATCCATGAGCTCCCGCTGAACTGCGACAACAGCTAGGCTCAGCCTGACATCTCGCATCCAAGCGCTCCTCCCTCCGACGCCGCTGTTTGCTGCTAGCAGTAGCAGTCATGGACACTCGCCCTTGAATGAGACAGGGATCGACGACGGGACTATACGCGCGCGACCGCGGATGAAGCGCGTCGTTCCACCACGCAAGTTCTTGAAGATACGCATCATTACCTGGAATATGCACGAATCGTTACCAAAGGTACGTTCTGATCAATTCTCCCTGCTAGCACTACACTGACCATCGTGCATACGCATATAAAGGGCGAACTCGACGAACTACTTGGCGTAGTTAAAGACACATCGGAATCGTCTCCACCCGACAGCGACGACATCCCTTCTTTGCCAGAAGATGATGCTCATCCGTATCATATCGTCGTAGTGTGGGTCTATTTTCTTTGCAAAATGTGGTTAATCGGTCTGAATGTCATCAAGTGCCGGACAGGAATGCCCCAGCGTATCCGGCCTACCCATGGGCATCGGTGCGGCATTCAAGCCACGCAAGGATAAGGACAAACACAAGGACAAATCAAAGGACGCTGATAAAACCAAGCCACCTGACGCAAAGGATGGCGAACGAGACGAGACCCCGCGACGTCGATCCCAGGAGCAGGATCCAGATGTTGATGCCTACGCGCACTCACCCGACCCCTTCTCGCTGCCGCTGGCAACGGTGCCCGGCCTCGGCTCGATCGGCCCCCCGACGGGATGGACGACCATCCTCGAAGACTGGTTCTGCAATGGCCTTGGCTCTTCCTCCTCGTCGCCCCCTCCAGACAGCGGTGCCTCGACCGTCGGCCCGCCACCTATGCCGACACGATCGCTTAGCACAGATGATGTCAATCCGCGCATGCGAGGAAACCCACGGACGCAGAGCGACGAACGCAACGCGGAAAAGGGTCCTGGTAAGGGCCCGTACGAGCTCCTGATCAAGGAGCGCCTCATGGGCATCTACTTGGCCGTCTTCATCAAGCGCGACGTCAAACACCTGGTCCGCGGCATGTCTAAGTCAGCCGTCACTACCGGTCTCATCGGCGGGCGCGTCGGGAACAAAGGCGGCGTCGGCATCTCGCTCAACCTCGCGGGCACCACACTCCTCTTCGTCAACGCGCACCTCGCCGCTCACGGCGACAAAGTCCCTCTCCGCCTCGCCAACCTCGCCAAGATCAAGTCCGAGCTCGCCGTCGACGACTTCCTCGCCACCGACGACCCGCGCGTGATGGCCGAAGACGTAACTGACCGGTTCGACTTCACCTTCCTCTTCGGCGATCTCAATTTCCGGCTGGACGTCACCCGCCTCCATGCAGACTGGCTCATTGCCCGGCAGGAGTACGCGCAAGCGATCGAGTTCGACCAATTACACAACCTCATGCGAAATGGGCTCGCTTTCGTCGGCTTCTGCGAGGCGCCCGTCCGCTTCCCGCCCACGTTCAAGTACGACGTCCTCCGCACGCTCAAGAAGGCGAGTCGACGGCGGAAACAGTCCAAGCCGACCCCGCTCGAGCTCGAGCCCGGGTTGGAGGGCGTCGAAGAACAGGAAAAGGAGCACGAGGGCGATGCAGCGCACGGCGATGAGGCGGACGGCATCAAGCCCGACGGCGGCGAGAAGGGCGACGGAGACCAGGACGAAGATGCCTCCGACGAGGACGACGCGGCCGGCGGCGAGGCGGCGTCGCTCTCGTCTTCCGCATGGATGTCCGTCCGGTCGAAGAAGACGAACCCGGAGCAGCCACAGCGGGACAAATCCGACCGGGAGGATGACTACTTCCAGTCGCTCGGCATCACTCCATCCCCTCCCCCAAGCGGTGGCACGCCCAACCTCAAAGCGCTTAGCACCACCAAGCTCGTCCACCGCATCTCGCTCACCGGCGCCGCGCACAAGGCCAAGGCGAAATGGCTCGCGCTCGTCACACCCGGGGCGTCGCCGCGCGTGCGCTCCAGCCCCTCGTACGCCCACAGCCATACCTCCATGTCCAGCGCAGGAGCCTTGAGCTCGTACCTCGGCGTGCACGCGGACCCTACTACCCCTACCTCTCCCGTCTTACCCTTTTCAAAATCACATAACATCAGCCACAGTACGCCGACACTCAAGTCTCCCGATGGGAAACCGAAGAGCGCGCCGTCCGGGCTTGGGCTGGTACCTAAAGACGTCCTCGGAGGGGCACCGTCCATGAAGCGAGCCGTGTCGACCATGTCCGGATTGGAGGGCCATAGCCAGCAGCAGGACGAAGACCCTGATAAGGGCGTGTACGACAGCTCGAGCAAGAAACGTGTGCCGAGCTGGTGAGGATTCCGCTCACAGCCGCTGATATGTTACTGAACCATCTCTCAACCATAGGTGCGACCGCATCCTCTGGAAATCCACAGTGAAGCCCGAACCCGAACCCGACGAAGAGTCCAGCCTCGAGCCGTCCACGCTCAGCTCCTCCACCCGGCCGCGCACCCGCGGAGTGGTCGGGCAGATGCTCGCGCAGGCGCTCCGCCCGCTCTCGCTCCGCAGCCGTGCGCAGTCGAGCTCGTCTGTGAACACCGTCCGCACGCGCTCGGACGAGACCTGGACGCCGCACTCGGATCTGACGCCGAGCACGCCCGGCGAGCACGCGCAGGCGGAGATGGACCGCCAATTCGCCGCGCACGCCCATGCGCAGCCGCCCACGACGCCTACGACGCCGACCGCCCGTGCGCTGTCGCACTCGCGCTCGATCGACACCATCCCCGGCGGCACAGCGCCGTACGGGGTGGGCCGCGCGCCGACGCTCTCGCGTAGCGCCAGCCACGCCGATTTTCAGCGACAGCGGCCGACCTCGACGGGCGTACCGCTGGAGGTATCGAAGACGGTAGCTGCGCCTCTCACTGCTGCTTTCATCCCACCTACCGCGCCGCGCCGGTGGAGGCTCTGGTCCATGCTGTCAAGCGCATCGCGGGACTCATCCCAAACCAACGTCACGCAGCCAGAAACTGCGGTCGAAGAGCCGCCGGAACCGGAGCCCCCAAGGCATCGCAGAGGCGACGTCGTTTGCCTGAATTATAACACCCTCGACGACCGCGGTATGCGGAGGCTCGAGGGCCGGAGCGATCATCGCCCTGTTATAGGCTGCTACGCTGTATATATCTAGACCAGCCGCATTTGTCTTTGTTGTGACACGTCCTTTCCGCATGCACGCATCTCTACCGCATTAGCACACTTACACATACCGGATCTAATTTATTTGGCGCATTCCATCCTCACTGTATTCGCGTACAGCATCGCTCTCGTAATACCACACTCTTAGAGTGCTTTCGCGAAAGCGAAATGCGGCGTGACCGGTTCCTGCATTCGAGCATGATAGCGTACAGATCGTGTTGTGTACAACAAGAACCGTTCAGGCAGAGATGGTGACCTCGACCTCGACACCGGGCTCGAGCGTCGTGGAGGTCTGCGCAAATTATGGTCAACAACAAGTACAAAGGTCGTGGCAAGTGTGACGTACGATCTGCTTGACAACCTCCGAGGAAGCGTGCAGGTCAATGAGGCGCTTGTGGATCTTGAGCTCGTAGCGGTCCCAGGTCTTGGAACCCTCACCGCAGGGCTGGAGGTAGATGTCAGCATCGTTCTGTGTTCCGGGACGAAGAGGTACGCACAGACTTCCGGGTGGTGATCTTCAACACCTTGGTCGGGAGGCGGACGGGGCCCTTAACGAAGAGCTGCTTCTCCTTCGACCTGTTGATCAGGTCGCCGCAGACTGCAACATAAATCAGTCTTTTAGAATGACGCCACGGTATCAGATATCAATGAAGCGTACACTTCTCCAGGTTCTTGACGTTGCTGGAGGTGAGGGTGATGCGGATCTTGTGGATCTTCGCAGCGGGCACCGCGCCAGCGGCATCGTATTCTTTTTCACCCTTAGCGACGTAACTCATCCTTGCAGCTCGGAGGTCAGAAGGTGACTAAGGGGCCTGGAATGAACGGTGAGCGACGATTCTGTATATCGAGCAGCGCGACGACAGACCTGGTGTTGATGAAGGCAGGAAAATTAGAGTTTGACCTTTTTGGAATCATCTATCACGTGATTGTATCTCACGTTCCCTAGCTGAGAGCGCCTTTCTCTCTCGAGTCTCGTCAACGGAGGAGCTGCGGCTGCCAATCCCCGATAAAGCGTTCTAGCATGTTTGTACTTCAGAATTGGGCTTGAAATAACCGCATACGTGTCTAGGAATTGATCCATCGTTTCTAGAAATCTCATCAACGCAAGGTTATGGCGTTTTGCCATCTCAACATGGTCTCCCCAGTCAGACTCTCGATGTGCAATGAAGACAGTCGTTCACTATTGCAGTCATGTCTCTGAGGAAGCTGTAAGGAGTGTGTGCGGTGTCCTTCCGCATGGACGATTGACGCCAGGCATTCTCCCGGGCACACTCCATGTACATGTCATCTGGGCTTCCTCGAGGCCGAGCATATTATCATTTGATTAACTGTGAACAGGCCCTCGATGTCGTGCTGGAGGCAAGATTAGATCACTGGCTAGAGAATATTGTGTCGCATTGGATCTCACTCTGGCGCGCTTGGAGTCTCTCGGGACATATCGTCTGGACAGACTTCAGCAAATCGCTGCGATTGACGTTCGTTAAACCGGCACGATGACTTGTATCTTACCTTTAATACACTCGCCTCGTCCGGTTCGGGTTTTCGGCCATATGCACATCGTGGTAACCACGTGGTACACAGATAAAATCGATCTCAAGCCAGCCGCTATCGGCTCAACCTTGACCTGAGCCCTCACAGTCTCCCTCTGCAATCTTAGACTAGCGTCAACGAAGGCCGAGTCAAGTTGATCACAATTATAACGGGAATAATGCATGTGAGCGACCAGTCACACTGCTATGCGGGTGCATTCGCGGATATCTTATAACGACACATCGGCGCCGCCCTTTGAGAGGATCATCAGCTGCAAGACACTGCCGAGCATGCTCAACGTGAGCTTGACGAAGAAATAAACCCGTTGCTAGAACAAGTTCAGGCCCTTCTCACGCAAGTACGCGTGCTGCGCGATCCTCGTAATCACCTTGCACTGGTAGCTCGACTGCCTGCAGACGGCTCTGCCTTCCCGATCCCGGCCACTTCCCACTCTTCCCGAAGAGTCACGCCTTCACTTTCGTATGCCGTTCCTGGCGCTCTCTCGCTCTTGACACCGCCATTCTCTGGTCCAAGGTACCGCGCATCGCGCCGGAGCTGACGCCATTGTTTCTTACGAGATCAAAGAAAGCGCCACTATCTTCCTGGACATCCGTGGACAATATATATATCAGTGCGATGATCAGGCCGTCCTGGAGGCTCTTGGCCATCTCCATCGAACGGAGAGCCTGACGTTCCACTAAGAGTCATGGTTCCATGACGAGCATGTAGGGTACCTCACACGTCCTGCCCCACTGCTGGCTGAGTGTACCATAGAGAACGAACACTCCGATACTACACTGCCGCTCCCGGATCAATTCCTGGGCTTGTCTGCCCCTCGGTTACGTTATCTTCATCTCGACCGCGTGTCGTTCAAGTGGCAGATCCTACACTCCCCTTCACTGGTTGATGCTTTGACGTGCCTCGAACTGTCCTGGCTTCCCGCCGATTGCTTTCCTTCACCTCGGCAGTTAGCTCGTCGCACAGTACGTTGCGTTGGACGCAACACTGGACACAACGTCGAGCGCAACTCGTGTGATAAGGTACCATGAATATACTGCCAGTCTAAGAAGCAGGATTACGTATTGACTGTCGTGCAATAAGTGTACTGTGATACAGGGTGAACAGCAAAAACTTGCGAAACAACACCGGTGGTTACGTCTGACGGTCAATTCATTCTCGATGCGCGCAGGGGTACCATAGGTAGCCGAAGACTGCTGTCTCGGATCCGCCCGCGCGATTTCTCAACCATTTCATACCTCTACTGCCCTGGCCTTGGATATCGATGAGGGCGGCGTGCGAGAACGAAGGACGGGGGAAAGCAGCAGCAGCGTTGCCGGCCGAGCGGGAGTAGGGGATCGGACGCCGTTCCAGTCGTTGAGGATGCGCTCGACATGCGTTCTGGCGAACGCCGCTTGCGCGTCCATGACGAGGTGATGTTCCACACCAAAGACGGTTTTCGTGGGGTGCGCCGAGCTTGCGGGTCTGTCGTCTGAACTACCTATGTCCCAGGTTTCCACGTACGGCGCCGCATGGCCCGCTTTTGCCCGTTTCTGTATGTTGAGCCCGCGGCGGCGAGGACAGGACTTCTTCAAGACCCACGTAACGGCAGGACCGGGTCGGTGGGAGGATAGACAGAGAGGGACGAGGCGCGTGACAGAGTCGTCTGTGTCGCGGATCTGTACGCTGTTGCCCATGAGGTGAAGTCTCTCTAGCAAGGGTGTCTTGAAGACCGGGAGGAAATGGTCCGAAGAGGGCGAACTCGTGAACGATGCTGCCGTCGAGAGGCAGAGCGTGAAGGACGACAGCTGGAAGGTCGGGTGTGAAAGAAGCCCTTCCATGGCCTTGAAGCGATGACGGAGTTAGTAGAAGTTATGGGAGTCATACCGGTCTTCCGTGGAATTCTGGAGTGAACGGGAAGGGGCCAGGCTGCTCCCAAGACGCGGCTGTATCTTGTCCTTCGAGTGGTCACAAACCAGCAGACGGCCGACGCAGATCGGCTGGATGAGGCCATCTCTGTCGAAGGCCTTGCGGGCATGCTCCAAGAACGTCCCCAGAGAGTCCGTTCCGAAGATCGCCACGCGCGTATAGCGATGTGGTATGGTGCAGTCGCGAATGCGATTCGAGACACGCAAGAGGGCCGGTGCGGCGCTGTAGCTTGATTTGCAGGCAAAGCCGCAGATAGCCGAGAGTAGCGTTGGAGGTAGCTTGTCCATGTCAGTGTTATGCTCGAAGCGGGCGTTGAAGTGGTGAATGAGACTTAGCGTTGAGAGAATTCCGAAGTCAGTTCGCGTTGACGACGACGTGACTTGCGACGTGGACACGTGGATGCGCTCTTGGTTCGACATTTGACGTGCGTTGGAGGTAACTAGTGAAGGGAGAGCGCTCGTCGTACTGCATGTCCCGCATGCTGCACTCCTGCGAAACAACTCAACTACGCTGACGTCCATGTTCCACAGAAAGGCATGGCCCATCGTCATTCAGAACTTCTAAATCAGTTACAGCCTGCCTAATGAATGCCCACGACCGTCGCACTGCTTTAGCGCCCGAGAGCCTATATTTGGTCTGCTTCTGAGTCAGTGCTTGCTTCACGGAATCTTTAGCCAGGGCCGGGACGGCATGCATCTCCTCCGTCACAAAAACCAAGTCCGGATCCAAGTCGAGCTGAGTCTTCTGGTCCACTAGAACCTTCGTCGACGCCAGGCATGCTACAGGCATCGGATTCATGTCGGACTGTGGTTTCTCCTCCACTGGAACATCCATCAACACCAGGCTTGCTACGGGCGGGGAGGCGGGCGACACAGCAGTAGTCACTGGAGACCGTGGACCAAGCCATTCGTCGAGGATCCGCTCCAGATGAGTCTCCAAGGTATATTCGGTCGTCCGCAACACCAGGCGCCTATCGCTGTCGCGGGTTTCCTGCGCGATACCCTTGATCATCCACTCTGCGTGGTTCAGGCGCACGCCAGAGACGTCCGAAGTTTCTAGTTCGAGGTGAACCTCTTTCAGGTCTTTCGGCACCTTGACGGAGCCCCGGTTCCAAGGCGAGTTCGTATCGAGACACAAGAGATGAGCTAGATCTGCAGCAAGGTCGGTTTCAAGTCGCTGTGCAGACAGGCGAAGAGACTTGAGGAAGGGCATCTGCATTGCGAATTCTCTGAGATCGAGACTATTGCCGACGAGATGGAGCGTTTCCAGGCTCGGCACCGCGAGCATGGGCCGGATCTGGTCCAAGGACCACGCGGATTCCGAATGATAAAGCGTCAAGGAAGAGAGTCGGGGCATATATCTGAGTCCCCGGTCGAGGCACTGATATCGAAGGTCTTCATCTTCACAGTCAAAGTCGTCCTGAAGAACGAGGCAGAACTCCCGGGCGTCTTGGAGGTGTCGGCACAAGGAAAGGAACGCGTATGAGAAGTCCCATTCCTCGTCCGGGCTGGATTCGGTTGCAAGGGAGGGTCCGGAGCCGCGAGAGCTGTTCTTCGGGCGATCGCTCACCAAAACTCGGTTGACGGGCACCTTCTCGCCCGGAATGGCTTCGCGGATATGCAGGAGGAACTTGAGCACTGACTGGCGACCCAGTAGTGCCAACGACAGGTAGCGGTAAGGCAGGGCGGACTCGCGGACGTGCTTGGAAACGCGCAAGAGGGACGGCGCGGCGTTGGCACTCGACTCGCAAGCAAAACGACAGACGAGCCTCGTCAGCGACGCAGGTAGTTTGTCCATGTTCGGATGTTTGTAGAGTAAGGTCCAAAGAGCAGACTGGAGGAGCGGATGAGTTGTTGGATAGTTTGTGTCCTCGGGCAAGGTCTTGAGGGTTGTCGGCGGTACAGGTTAACGTCGTGCCAGCGTGCAAGGCGGTGTCAACGCAGGTTTAGGGTGGGTCTGAACGCGACTACAGATATGTAAATGCCGAGGACGACGCAGAGGCCATCAAGATACTTAAACAAATCATGAGCTACCGTCCGCTCCGGCGTGTCTATCTTGCCGAAGAGTTGTGACACGTAGAGGATATCCTTGTTAGAGAGAAGATGGAAAACATGATTACCTGGGGTATTGATGATTGCGGCGAGAAGCTTGAATACGACGCAACCAGTACTACATGAACTAATCCATTGAAGTGATACACCTCCGCATATACGATGCCATGTCCGAGACCACGATACGATGGCCCGCCCTCTCCTCGACTTCTACATACCGGGCATCGTCTCAAACTGCACGGCACCATCCACGCAACTCGTGAGCCATCCCACCTTATCCTTGACAAAGAACTCCCGCTTTGGCTTCAGCTTAGTCTCATGCAGCGAGAAATCGTCTACGGTGCCGACGCGGAGGATGCTCTTTCCCGGGAACGCCTCGCCGACGCGGTACATGAGCGTGCCGCACGTCTTGCAAAAGTAGTTGGTCATCTTCGTCCCGCGTTTGATCGTCTTGCTCTGGCCCCAGCTCGAGAGGTTTTCGCGCCCGCGAAGATGCTTCAAGTACGCGTCGTCGATGGTGAAGTTGGTTGCGAACATAGACGCGGTGATCTTCCGGCAATCGGTGCAGTGGCAGACGAAGGTGCCGACCAAGCCTGGACCGGAAGTAGGCTGAGATGCTAGTGTGTCAGACCGGACTTGTAGCGCTGAATAATCTAGGGGAAACGTTACTTACGAACGCGAGCTGTACGGCGCCGCAGAAACAGGTCGCGGTCGCCTCATCGTCGTTCGACCAGCCATCGGAGGCGACACCCGCAAGAGGAAAGTATGGTTCGGTTTTGTCAGCGGTTGCCGATGCCATCAGGATGTAGCCGAGCGCTGCAAGGCGTTAGATGCAGGGATGGGTTCTGGATGAGCGACGTGACGTACGCTTGGGTATTAAACAGGTCTGGTCCCTGCTCTTGATGCCAGTGACATGCTTTTGTACCGGCCCGAGGGGCCCTACCATATACAATCACCTGCGCGGAATCGGCGTGAGGCACGCTTTGTCACATTTGGAGTTCGACGCTCGAACTGCGCAATGGCAGCTTGGTGGACTTGAACTGAGTCATACTCGAGCTTTCGGCGTCGTAGTTTAGTCATCGTACTTGGGATGACTGTCAGCTATATGGGGTATATCTGGGAAGGAAGTTGATCGAGCAGGAAGTCCATCTGCCCCGAATATGACAAAGTGCATATATTTGTAGGTGACCCTATTCAACCGTCGGCGGAAATTCCGAGTGGCAAGTATACAGAGGTTGTGAGAAGACAGGAAAATCATTGGCAAGGCGGTGGCCTCGGTGGTAATAGTTTAGGGCGGGCTCGTGGCTGCGCAGCGCGGCTTGTCCCGCTCCTGTCCTTCAAGTTTCTTTGCGCGCCTAGCTTGGTGTCTCAAAAACTTCGGCGAGTCCAACGTCGCCCGAAGCTCATACCGAGGTAGGATCTATAGCTTCTCCCTGATTTCGCACTAAATTTCCGTACAGTAGCAGCACCCATCGGGCTCTCAAGAAAATCCTATACATGATGCCTCATTGTCAGTCATGTTCATGCTACAGTAGTACGGGCGCGGGTGTTCCTGGCTCAGTGTGTGGCGTAGACGTCACAATGCGCTGCCTAGACAATCGCATCTAGGTCCTTGTTGCTCAGCTATGTGATCTTCGACGCCAGAAGAATCTCCTGGTTCCCGTCAACCGCATGCCCCCGGAAGTCCTCCAGCACGTCTTTTTCTTGTACAAAGACGCCTCGAGCGAACACGATTGGGAATGGATCAGGATATCTCAAATTTGCGGCCACTGGCGCGACGTTGCGCTATCGAGCGCCACACTATGGAACACCCCGAACTTGCGCTTTCCGGAGTTGGCGCTGGAGATGTTACGGCGGGCTCGTAGGGCTCCGCTTCATGTCATGTATCTGGCTCGACCCTGGATTTCAGGTAATGATACCTTCGACACCGAATCACATGAAGGTGAAGATCTCGGGGATGGAGAAAGAATTCTAGGCAGAAAAGCCCAACGCAATCCCCTCACGCTGCTTTCGTTAGATGCGGCAGCTCATATCATCGAACTGGATATCGCGGCCGACGGTCCTACCATTATCTCTACACTCCAATCACATCCTGGCCAGTTAACTAGGTTGCGTGACTTCTCGGTGGAGAATACCACGGAAATCGACCTGTATCCAAGCTTCGCTTTCATGGCAGATCAGTACCCCAGTCTCGAGCGCCTCAACCTGTATCAGTGCTACCCGCCTTGGACATCCAATCTCTTGTTAACGCCGGCTCGCTTGCGAAGGCTCGATATCCACACGGAAATCAGACGGCAACCGCACGCGGATTCGTTTGACGATGTGTTGACATTCCTGAAGCTTCAGCCAAACTTGGAATCCATCTATCTGGCAGCCGCTCTCCCCCTTCTCAACGATACGAATCAGGACAAGGTCCCGATCAAGGTCCATCTCCCTCACCTTAAACAGCTTGATCTTGAAGATACGCTTGCCGAGGTACAATACTTCTTCTCGTGTCTCCGGATCTTCGCGGACTGTCGCGTGAAGGCGGAGGTACATCAGGAAAAATCTGACTATCGAAAGAGTCACTTATTGGGTACCGAAACCCTCTAAAGCTACTAAATGAGCACGTTTTAGTACGTTTTAGGAGGTTTTGAGCAAATCCGGTTTTTCCTGATGTAACGGATGGGTTCGTCGACGGATTACCATCGTCCGCGTTGTTGGCATTCACAAGAGCCATATTGGCGCATGCAGGTCGATGCAAACCGCCGAAACTCACACTCAGTAACCTGTACGGCGCTCGTATCACATGCTGCATTCAGGACGATGGTCTCCTTGGGCAGGAGGACTTTGATGTGACATGGCAACAGGCGTGTTATTCGGAGAACGGCTTGGAGGCGGAAAAGCGCATGTTTCAACAAGGCACCAATATTTTCGACGCGGTCCACCCATCGAAACTCGCAGTTCGCGTGCATTCATCGCACCAACTCACTCAGGAAGACTGGTGTTCCCTCCTCAGGGGAATGTCCGGGCTACACACAGTGCACATCGATAACGCGATCCCACTATCTTTCTTCCGGGCGTTGAACGAGTTTTCGGAAGACCAATCACCGTTGCTTCCAAAGCTGCACACACTCATTTTCGGCTATGGCTCGAATATAGAGGACACGAACGATGTCCTCGCCGCTCTCGAGGCAAGCATGCGTACCCGCAACCTCCAACGAATTTACCTTTCGGGACGGATGAAACCGTGTATTGAGAGTCTGGTCAACACGCATTTGGGAAGTGCAGCAGACGCGGTTATATGGGGCGTTGACGATTGCGGCAGGCAATTGGTCTGATTAAGACCGCAGAAAAGAACCACCGATTATACGACACCTCACCTCATCCCTTCGGAGTTAGATCAAATCTTGTCAATCGTAGAACGGCGGTGATTTCTCACTATCTGCTAAGAATACTAGGGCATACCCGAAACTGGGGAGGTAAACCGCACCCAGTTTAGGTTCGAATACCCACTCTGGGATCTTCGCAATGACTCGTACGGACGATAGGGCGGGCTTTGATGCATCGTTGAGAGGATATCGAGACACGATACCATAGGCAGCGAGGGCGTTCCCAGACATCCGCCCACATTGGCGTGGGGCTCCTTCGGAATGCAGTTGAGCGTCCAGCAACAAATGTCCCAACGAGTGTGCACCCATGGGCAACAACCGAGAGATGCAGGAGAATGCGACATTATCAAAGTGCAGAATATGGCGAAAAGGCCCATACAACTGCTACTATTCACGTCAACCTACACTCCCGGCATCGTATCACACTGAGCAGCTCCGTCCACGCAGCTCGTGATCCACCCCACCCTATACTTGACGAACATCTCCCACCTCGGCCTCAGCACGGTCTCGTGTAGCGAGAAATCGTCCACAGTGCCGATCGTGAGCATGCTCTTTCCCGGGAAGGCCTCACCAACGCGGTACATGAGCGTGCCGCACGTCTTGCAGAAGAAGTTTGTCATCTTCACCCCGCGCTTGGTGGTCGCGCTCTGGCTCCAGCTCGAGAGATTTTCTCGCCCGCGGAGGTGCTTCAGGTACGCATCATCGACCGTGAAGATCGATCCGAACATGGACGCGGTAGTCTTCCGGCAGTCAGGGCAGTGGCAGAGGAAGCTGTTCACCAAGCCTGGACCGGAAATGGGCTGCATGAACAGGCAGAGTGAGAACACTGCTTGCGCGACCACGATGAACGGGGAGCGTACAAATGCGAGCTGCACGGCGCCGCAGAAGCAGGTTGCGGTCGCCTTGTCGTCGTTTGACCAGCCGTCGGTGGCAACGCCGGCGCGCGGAAAGTAGGGCTGGGTTTTATCGGTGGTAGAGGATGTCATTGCGTTGTGCGGTCGCGCTGGCTATGAGATCGTGAAGGGTAGTGGCATTTTATGTAGTGTCCAGAGAGCCCAGCAGGGTACAGCTTGCACACGATGCGTCATTCGTGTGGTCGTGTCCGCCCGCCGTCGGCGGGTCAACGGAACGGAGGACGGATTGCTGCAAGGCCCCCCGTCCCGTTTTCTCCCTGATCATACACAGTCAGTTGTAATGGAGCACCAGGAACAAGCCGGTAACATCGGGACATCGGGTGACTCGATATCGAGATGGCGGCGCCGGAGCCTGTCAAATGGGTTACTCATACGGCCTGAATAGGGAAACGACAAAGCGAAGGCTCATGGTATCTGCACGTCCGTTTTCGATTCAATTGAGATCGCATTTGATTCATACGCGGATCAGCGCTCGTCTCCATTGCGCAGGTGAAGCAAACGTTTGACTCTGCATCCGACCGCCCACCTACGGGAAGCCGATGAACTGATCCGCGCCCTCGACGGAGCTCGTCACCCATCCAATCCGGTTCTCCACGAAGTGCTCCGTCTGCGGCTTGAGCTTGGTCTCGTGCAACGTAAAGTCGTCAACGGTGCCGATGCGGAGGATACTCTTGCCCGGGAAATGCTCGCCGACGCGGTACATGAGCGTGCCGCACGTCTTGCAAAAGTAGTTGGTCATCTTCGTCCCGCGCTTGATGGTCGTGCTCTGGCCCCAGCTCGAAAGGTTCTCGCGCCCGCGAAGGTGCTTGAGGTAGGCGTCGTCGACGGTGAAGTTGGACGCGAACATGGACGCGGTGATTTTCCGGCAGTCGGTGCAGTGGCAGAGGAAGGTGTCGACCAAGCCTGGACCGGAAGTGGGCTGCATAGACGAAGGAGTCAGATCGACGTGCGTAACAGAAACTGCGATCGGAAATGTAAGCTCACGAATGCGAGTTGCACGGCGCCGCAGAAACAGGTCGCGGTCGCCTCGTCATCGTTCGACCAGCCATCGGTGGCAACACCGGCGAGGGGGAAGTAGGGCTTGGACTTGTCGGCGGTGGTGGAGGCCATGGATAGGAAGTCAGATGTGGTAATATGTAGAGTTGAGGACAACGTGAAGCCTTGGCAATTGTGTGCTGGCGGTGATTATAGTGCATATTCCAGCACCCTTTATATACTGGCCTCAGGCAACCCCATACACGTGCCTCGAGGGCGTCGTCGATTGGCTGTCCACGCCTCCGCTGCGACTCATGCTGAGATACAAGCTTGGTCACCAGATGTGTCCTCCATCCCCGGATGTCGAATGTATAGAAAGCATCGACGTCTTGGATTGATAAGCACTACGTCCGTAGCGCGATTGAGGGTCCGTCGAGAAGTCGACCGTGGTATAGCGTGCCACCGAGAACCACAGACTGGCGACGATTTCATGTCCCGACGCGAGCTACGTTATTTGTTCCTGTCTGAGAAGTATTGCCAAGGATCTGTAACAGGTGAGGAGGAAAGAGCACGAGTAAACCGTCGCGTCCAATCACCCCATCCTAGGGTTCGACACGTTCAAGTTATCAACCTCAACCTCAAGATCATCCTGCATCTGAAGCATCTTCCACAATTTGGACGATTGCATACAAAAGGTATACAAATCGTATCATCCATTTCAATCGCGCTATCACACAGGCAGACGATGGAGACAACGGAGGATCCATTCCAAGTGACCTTCTCTCCTCCCCTCTCACAACAAAGACAGTTATGGGTCCTCGATATTCTTCGAGCCGAGCGGCCCCAGTCAGTGAGTTCGACGTGATGGGCCATGAATGTAGCATGAACAGATCATCCCATCGGATCATGACTCTGGACAGATACTTGATGTCGGATGCGGAGACGGCCGTCTGCTCGCAGCGCTCAGCGAGCCCGCATTCGCCCTGCCACCCCCAGTGGGAACCCCAGTGGGAACAGACATCCCGGAAGAATTTCTCCCAGGCCCGCACGAGTTCCGCGATATGTACCCGGACAAGGTCTTCGGCCTCGACTTGGATGACGACGACCTATCCGTCGCGGTCGAGGTGACGAAACCTCGCCCGGGTCGCTCGGGCACAGCGAGCGATGAGCAGCTATTCGCCGACGATCGCGAAAGGCCGGATCGGGAGAGCTACTGGAAAGCGCTGATGGACGTCCCCTTTCCGCGCTGGACGGCGCTCGAGGTGCAGATCTGGAAGGGCAGCCTCGCGGACGTCAACCGCGCGTTCGTCGGCGTCGAATGCATCGTCTCCACCGAGGTGTGCGTTCCTCCTCCACCTCGTTTGATGGCGCGGTTCTCATCGTCTTTGCCTGTGACGTCTTGTTCGCAGAATTGAGCATCTCGCGCCGGAAGTCTTTCCGTCGTTCGCGTCCGTGCTCTTGGGCGTCTACCGCCCTCGGCTGTTCCTCATCACCACCCCCTCGTACACGTTCAACGCGCGCTTCTCGCCCCCTGCCGGCTCTGAAGGGTATACAGGCGAGGAACGCCCCGGGACGTGGCAAGATCCGACGAACCGCACCTCTAGGTGGTTCCGGCACCCAGACCACAAGTTCGAATGGTGAGCCTTCCGCGTTCACGCGGCCTTCCATCGATATAAATCCCACGAACGCGCGCACAGGACCATCGAAGAGTTTCACGACTATTGCACGTCGGTGGGGAATCGATTCGGGTACACCGTTCGTGGTCGTTCCTCCGTTGGTCATTCTCCGGTACGTTGACAACGGTTTCGCACAGGTTGTGATCGGAGGTGTTGGGCGATCGGTCGAGCCTGATCCATGGGGCCGCGATAAAGCACTCGGCTTCGCCTCGCAGACGGCGCTCTTCCGACGCATCAACCCCACCGAGCAAATGTCGAATGTTCCCGACGCGATGTCCCGTTGTAGCCACAAGCTTCGAGCTACACACGTCCATGGTGCGCATCCTCGCGCAGGTTACCCGCTGCCCCTGGCGCGGATCGCGACCGTCGTCCGGGACGCGATGGAGAGCGTGGAAGAGGACAGCATGCGCATCGACGAGCTATGGCGATTCAGGCGGGTGAGCTTGGCGTGCGGCGGGTGGGTGGAGATGTTGCTGGCCGCTGTTGCAAGCTGTGGGAGGACGGAGCGAGAGTCTGAGCCACTGGAGGAGGGACACGTGCTTACGGGCTTACAGCTGGACGTCGTGTACGTTGAGGAGGGAGCCAAGAAGAAAAAGTTGACGAGGTGGGACTGGCGGGTTCGGCTACTTGGTACGGTCCCTTGGCAGCAGCGAACGTGGATGAGCGAGCACGACCCTGACCGACCCACCGGTGAAGACGCGTCCACGAACGACATGGAGTACAGCGACGACGACGAGGAGGAGGAGGAGGAGGATGTGCGCGAGTCTATTGGGCTACCCGTTGATGTGACTGCCGAGAATGCGAGCTGGCCTGCTATTGAAGGTGAGGCTTCTGGCGGTTGGGGCGATCACACAGGAAGTCGCGGCAGTTGGGGGGAGCCCCAAGAATCAGAGGGACGAGGAGGTAGCGGCTCTTGGGTTTTCGATGGTGGGTGGGGCGGGGAGGTTCACGACTGGGCCGCAGCACCAGCGCATCCCGTGGAGGACAGGCAGTAAACGCGTGTTGTATCGATGCGAACGGCTGGGAGGCATGACCTGATCTTGTTTCCGTGCTGAACTGAGTATGAGCTGAAATGCTTCGGGGGTGAAATGCTGAAGCGGGTGTGCATTAGAACATGTGTACAAAGCGTCCGTGGCAGAGTAAATACGAATCTGCACCTTCGTTAACTTCCTCGGCCACGAATCAGTAGCAGATTTGACGTACCCTGATACCTCCCGGACCATAAAACAGGCAACAGTGCCCTGACCGCGGACGTCCAAACCTTCACTCCTCCCCCACCAGCGATTTCCTCGGTGCTAACGTGTCGCGAAATAAGTGGTCAAATTCCCGATGATGCTCTGCAGAAACCAGCGCGTACATATGAGCGGATGAACTTGCGCGAGATATGTGACCATCCACATGAGATAGCAACAGGCGAGCGCGAGTGAGAAGCTCGTGCGTATCAACCTGGGTCGCGCATATATGTGAGCCCGCGTGAGCAGTAACGAAGAAAGGTAGCGCTACGTCTGATTAGGGCCTTTGGGCGTGAAGATCCACGAAACAAACATAAGTCCGAGCACGATGACCAGCAGGAACCAGACTGGTAGAACGGACGACATGGTGGCGAGGGGCAAAGAAGCTGGCCGATGACCACGCACTGCGGCGGGAGCTTCGAAGTCGCGTTCACGTTCTCCTCTCGTTCGACAACATGATTACTCCTGCCTGACACAAGCGTGTCCCCACGTTCATCCGCCGAGCATGTTTTTTATGCCTTTTGATCGCCTCGTCGTCGACCACTTCGTAGCGCTGGGCTCTGAGGACGTCACGACGATGGACAGATTTCACGATGCCCAACTCAGGAAACGGGACCGCACGGACGGGTGCACGTACTGACCACATTTCCCCTCTCCCATGCTTGTCGACACCTATCTCTTGTGACGTCTCTGACTTGGTCGGCTTCCTGTATTTACCGTTGGAAGTAAGCCCTACGAACGCTAGCGAGCTTCATGGAGTCTTCTGCTGCGCCAGATCAACGCATGTGTGTACAGTTTGGGCACAAATGGTGCCGGACCGTCTTGCAATAACGCACTATCGGCATCGTGGGCTTCGAAGTAGTGTTAGCGCTCATATCCGCTCAACATGCGACTTGCACGCGCCCGGAGAAGAACGCACGTACGCCGAGCACAAGTCTATGGGTTTAGCTACCTGCAGGCCGTGGCAAACGTTGTGTTACCTCTCCTCACCGCGTTTTTCTCAGAGCCGTCTCCTGCCCCCACATCAGCCGTCCTCGATGTCCGGCCAGCCTATCCATGTGTCGTCGGACTCGCCCAACGATCACCCACCGCCCACCGTCCTGGAAAACGCGGCGTCGGCGAGCGGTACGACTCCAATCGCCGAAGAAACACTGGACACGACGCCAGGACCTGTTGTCCCAGAGATTGACGAAAGGCCCAAGTGCAACTGCCCTATTACAGGCCGGAACCTCGTTGTATGCATCGACGGAACTGCGAACCAATTTGGCATGAAGGTCAGAACGTTGTCCCAGCCGTCGACTTCCCGGTGATAACTTGATGCTCTCGTAGAACACGAATGTGGTAGAGCTGTACAGTCGCCTCGTCGAAGACGCGGGGCAACTCGCGTACTACGACAGTGGGATTGGCACGTACGTCGATGACCGCTGCTCCATGCGTTACGTGGCCCAAGTCATCGATCACACCGTTGATATGGCCATTGCATGGTAAGGAGAGCCGTGTATATGGTTGAACCGCTCCCTTGACCGTATCAACGTCCGTTAGGAACTACAAAGAGAATGTCCTCAAGGCGTACGAATGGCTGGTAGAAAACTATCAGACGGACGACCATATTTTCCTGTTCGGTATGGTCTCAGCCACATATCTTTCCCTTGTCTTTGATTGCGTGCACAGGGTTCTCTCGCGGGGCTCATCAAGTTCGCGTTATAGCGGGGATGATAGAAAAGGTACGTCCGCACTCTCAGTATTTCCCCTATGCCAGGTTCTTTAGCTTTCCTTGTAGGTTGGCCTCCTCAGGAAGGGAAACAATAGGCAGATACGCCTGTACGTGCGCCACTGTTCACAGTAACATGATGAACGTCGATTGCATGCAGTGCACACGATCTCTACGAATCTTCCACCGCCCATGAGAAGAGACGGTTCGATGAGTCTGGCACGCCGATGCAACAAGACTTCGAACACAAGACCACATGGCAGGGATCGATCCAGGAAAAAACATGTGCGTTTTCTTCTTATTCACAACAAGTCCAATAAACCCCCACTGAATTGGTTCTCGTAGTCCTTAAACACATCCCCGCCGCCGTATTCTGGCTTACGACCTTCCTCATCTTCACGCCGTCACTCGCTGCCCTGCTTCCCTACTCCGTCCTCTCTCTCCTCCCATCATCTCTCCGTTTCGCATCAACGATCCTAACTCACAGTCGCAAATCTCAACCTCCTCGGGTTGATCTTCGTGATCCTTGCGCTCCTCTGCTATCCCATAAGAAAGACGATGCGTGGGGATGTCTGCAAACACTTCAAGTCGACGTTATCGCGCGAAAATGTAAAGGTTCACTTCGTCGGTGCATGGTAGGTCATGCCTCCCGTTCGTGCGGCGATACCTGCTAAGTGCGGCATTTCTAGGGATACCATATCATCCGTCGGCATTACTAGGAGTCCTACCCCACCCGAAACGACCTCTGGTATGGCGCATGTCTGTGCTTTCAGGCATGCGCTAGCGCTCGATGAACTACGGGTCAAGTTCCTACCCGAATACGCCAATGGAGGAGCTGGTCCGGTGGACGCCGAGGGCGACGTCAAAGAGGTGTGGTTTGCTGGATCTCACTCAGATATGTGAGAAAACATCTTGGTGAACGATCTTAGGATCAATGCTTACGGAAATCACCACAGCGGGGGAGGGAACGTACCGAACCTCGAAAGTGACCGTCTCGGACCAGCGCTGCGCTGGATGATGTACGAAGCCTCGCTGTGGGGGCTTCGGATGAAAGCCGATGGAGGCAACTGGTACCCATCACGACCCACCAAATCGATGAACTGGTTCTGGTGGTTCCTCGCTTGCCTGCCAATCAAGCGTCTATCGTACGAAGACGCGGAGGGCACAGAGAGATGGCAAGCTCACCTTCCCGCTGAGAATATCGTGAACCCTTACTCATAACACGTAGGCCGCCTCACTTTGCGGCACCTCGGCAGGTAAAGGAGGGACAGCTCATTCATGAGTCTGTCGCCGATGTCGGCGAGGATTACGTACCCAGTGCTCGGCTCCCGCCTACTCTCTCTTTAGGCTGGAATTTTGCCGAGCTGAAGTCCAAAGGGAAGATTGAAGAAGACTGTTCCGTTATCATCAGTGCTCTTCAAGAAAAGCGTGATCTCACTGAGAGGCAAATTCAGCGGCTGACGGAGCTGTCGTTGTCAGGCAAGTAATCGAGGCTTATATTACAATGGAACATCCATAACTAACGGTTTGAGAATGTTCAGATCATGGACGACAGCTCATCAACGATTTCCCTGATTCCCGCACGATATTGCTCGACGCGCTCGAACGAGAATCAGAACGCGAAGACGGAGTTGCGCGATCCAGCCTGCTCACAAGCGTTGTGATGGCAATGACAGCGTTCCGCTCGGTGGTGCCTCAGGGTCAGACGCGCGAGGTAGCAAAGCTGCGGCATATAGTGGCCATGGTTGATCAAGATACGCCAGAACAAGTTTCTGCTGCACATCATCTTCTGAACATGTTCCGTGACAGTGAGATATTCTCGCCACTCCTTGGATAGCATGACATCCTCATCAGCTTGCAGGACGGGTAAACGCCATGAAAACCCATTCTGGCAGTGTCTCATCCGTCTCATTCTCTCCGAATGGCGCGCAAATCGCCTCGGGATCCGGGGACCATAGCATCCGAATCTGGAACGCGGACACCGGAAAGGAAATCTGTGAGCCTTTGCGGGGACACAGGGGCGACATCCAGTTGGTGACGTTCTCGCCCGATGGGAAACGTCTTGCCTCGGGCTCATCATATGACAACGGTATTGTCCGATTGTGGGACGTAATGACAGGGCAGCAGATCGGGCAGCCGCTCCGAGGACATGCGCACTGGGTTATGTGTGTCGCATTCTCACCCGACGGCAACCGCATCGTCTCGGGCTCATGGGACGAGACGCTCCTACTCTGGGACGCGCAGACGGGACAGGCCATCGGCGAGCCTTTACGGGGCCATTCTGGCTATGTTTGTACCGCTGCTTTTTCACCAGATGGGAAGCACATCGCCTCTGGATCCAGCGACAACACGGTCCGAATCTGGGACGCCGAGACAGGCAAGCCAGTCGGGGACCCGCTGCGAGGCCACGATAGCGTAGTCAAAGCAGTCGCATATCGCCCCGACGGTGCGCGCATCATCTCGCAGTGTCAATCCGGGACTATCCGGATCTGGGACCCTCAGACAAGACAGATGGTGCTAGGGCCATTGCGATGGGACGAGCATCCGGCCTACCCTATAACATTCTCGCCGGATGGCCAGTACATCGTCTCCGGCTCCTTAGACGGCACGATCCGTATACGGGTCGCGCAGACGGGACGGACCGTGGCGGGCCCTTGGGAAGCTGACAGTGGCTTCTGCGTCAACTCTGTTGCATTTTCGCCCGATAGCAAGCACGTCGTCTCGGGCGGCTATGACGGAACGGTGAGAATCTGGGATGCGGAGATGGATTAGAGCATTCTAGCATTTGGGGATGAGGTTGTTTGCGAGGTGCGGTTTCGCTCCCTGACGAGGGACATGATCGAATCATTGACTGGTTGTATGCGTGGAGTAGTGATCATCCACGATTCGGCATCCGTACAGTTACCACACTACATTGGTAGGTAGGTAAGTAGGTAGGTAGGTAGGTAGGTAGGTAGGTAGGTAGGTAGGTAGGTAGTATTAGGTGGGTAGGTACATCCTGAATCTCCAGGAGCTTGGACAGCGCCGCAGGGGCCATTGACGCACCTCAGCTGTCATGTGGAATCTTCCAAGATGTGCATGGAGGAGTGCTTGAGATCGGAGATGGTTGCCTGTGCACTGGTTAGAGCATTTGTTGCAGTCGCAAGTTCCTCCCAGCCAGCAAGCCTCCGGATCAGGTTGTGTATGAGGATGGTCCACGGATATTCAAGACCATTTACGAGCGACTATTTGACGAGGGTACCACCTCGGGCTACTTGTTCCACCCCCTACTTAGGGTCAACTCGATAACAAAAAGTTGGCCCCAACTAGGCCCCCCAGCAGTGGACACGTGGGCTCTGGAGCAATCTGCGGTCTGGGGACACGCGAGGTGGACTTGTTTGAATGTGTCCAGCAGCACTGATATTGTCCACCGCAGTGCAAATTTGTCCACCACCCTGGATAAGGACAGCTGATCACTTCCATATTACAAATGTTATAAATATATTATTCCATGCGGTGTCCGGGGTCCCAACTCAGAAATGACTAGTTTTTAGCAGCATCCAGGGCAGTATTGTACGCACCCTGTTGGGACCACCAA